TAAAACTCACAAGGAAACAAGAAATTATTCTAAATCGTGCCAGATCAGATCTCATTCTCAAATCACAACTCAAGGCCCACAACTGGACAACTGTTGACTCTCCAAACTGCGAATGCGGAGCCCCTGAGACTTTCCGCCATTTGTTTTTTAAATGCGCCCATTGAAAACCGAACAAATTCTTAAAGGACAGGTGGCGGTAAACCCCTCTTTTAACCCCCCCTACAAAACAAGTATATATTGACATGGAATTGAAGAGGAAGTATGACTTATTACTTAAAATGTGATTTCTGAGAATTTAGACATTTGACCTTGACATTAGGGTGGTTTAAAGGTCAACTTTGAAAGATGCTATTTTTGTCAAAATTTTGCCGTTTTCTAATACAAGAAATGAAAGCAATTGACTTAATTTTGATTTTGACTGATAACAAGACATGTGAATGGAAATAAAAATATTTTTGATAAATTCTCACGGGCAATTACATGAAAATCTTGAGAATAAATCCCCATATGGGAATTTTTGGGGGGACTAAATTTTCCTGTTTCAAAAATGAATGTTCTTGTTGCCTTTTGAGACTCTAACAGTATCCTAATATAAGCATGTTTTAAGAGTTGGGATGTGATTATTATTTAAATGCCCATGACGTGGGCATTTCAAATGTAGATGCCCATTGGCATCTACATTGGAATTTGAAATTAAATGTCTGTATGGAGACTTAGTTTTAAAGTTATTTGCCAATTTACAGTTCCCATATTTGAATTTCAATATATATCATAAAATATAAGGCAGCATCATGTATATATGGCATGACACTCAAAAGATTGCTTAAAATAATTTCTACTTATTCCCTGTTTAGAAAAACACTTAGGCCATTCAAAAAAATTTTATAATTAATGTCACTAAATTCTATGTTTTCAGAAAAAACAAAATGGCCCCATGTACTCTGTACTTGTAATGCATATTAATGACAGAGGGAATTGTGATCATGAATTATATTGTATTGAAATGAGTTCCAAGATTGATTAAAAACTACATGTATATAAGCTTTAGTATTATCTTCATTAACAAGGTCATCTGAATCAAGAGGTGTTATTTGCTTTTCCACTATGTGTTATTGCATTTTCACTATTAAATAATATATAAAACCCTGTAAATAAATAAAGGTTTTGTAGTTTTCAATATAAGGCCCTTCATCAGAATGCCAACATATAATTAATTTTGAATGGCCTAATCTGTACATGCAGTTATGTAGTGTACATGTTTGCCCAGGTTAGCAGCCATATTGAAAACATAAACCAGTCAGCCTAATTTTCATCACAAAAGTTGAGTTTTAGTGGTGAGCCCAAACTCCCACAAGAATGATATTTGCAGGGAAGCTACTTTATACTCTCTGCATGATACAGTTTCAATATCTTTTTTTGTGGGAGAATGGGCTGATGGTTTAATTTTCAACGAAAGGAAATGAGCACCATGCTAAAACTTGATAACAAAGTGAACAAAAATGACAATGTTTTCCAGATTTGCATTGGTAAACTTCATACATAGCTTGATTTTTTTAATGTTGTACTCCGAATGTTCGTATGCCATATGTTCCATATAATAAATTCTATCTAATGATAAGTTTTGATATTATTTTGATGGTAAACATAGTGTGTACCCATATTCAGACAGTCTTGTGATAGGGGTTCTTAGTGCCAATTTTTCAAAGAAACTGAAAACTAATGCCACTTTTTGAAATTGCACACCCCAAGAAAAAAAGGTTTATCTACAACTTGCAATCGGTTTTTGAAAGTAAATAGAAGAATGAGTTTTTTTGGAAAAAGTCTAAGTTGACCAATAGTCTGTTAAATGGACCTGTTCTTTAATAGAGATATTGAACTAATCACTGGAAACCAATCTCAGTTCAGGACCCAGATGGACAAAATAAATCTTTACTTATTTGCTCACCCTTTACTTACTCAGGAACAAATTGACAATCTTTTATCAGTGGTGAGCCTATATCTTATTGAGCACGCATAGTTACATGTAGTTGGAAGCTGGTCTACTTTTGTCCTCAGCCATACCACTCCTTATCTCTACTGCTTTTCTCCCCTTGTTTCATTCTCTTACATTATACTGTAGCAACATGAAGTCTTCTTTGTGCCACATAGAAAGTACAGATCAGCCATTTAGCCATGGGAGACTATGGCGTGAACCTCTTTTCCCTACTCATACTACTATATCTTTGTTTCCAGGACCCTATAGGCAGAGGCAGCAGCCCCCCACACTCCAATTAAAATGCAGATGCTTTCTTTTCTATTTTTTTCATATTACATAATTGTGTATAAACCATGTTTTACGAATTGTAATTACTACATTGAGGGACACCTATAATGCCACTGGCGATTGGGTCCCTCATGTATGATATGGCAATAAAATCTCTTGATGAAAAAAAAACGTAACATCAGTGTCAATAACAGTATTTTGAGATGGTCCCTGAATGACATTTGTGTTCTGGGTAGAATCACTCATGTTGAATGAGTAGTGCACTTTCGATGTACGATGTCACTATTGACTGATTTTAAGCAAAGACTATGATGTAGGTTTGATGCAGGTTCTCAAAAATAAATTTGAGGAATGCATAAAGGATTTCATGTTTGATTTCGCGTGTATTCGATTTCAAAGATATTTATTTTTCTAATTACGTTAAAAGATCTTCGAGCAGTGCTCGATTTATTTCGTTGTTAATCTACCCATGTAATTGTTCGGTTGGAAAACTGTTTTTTACACATTTCCTTTGATAATTTTCTCCCCTGACGTCCCAGAGTGTCGAATATTTTTATGAGAACACTCTTAAAAATTATTTCTTGGATTTCCTTATATTGAGAAATTGTACTACTCATTTTAAGTCAAAAATTACTTAAATAATCTTGAACTACTGAATAATTTTTAAGTAATTCATTTATGGTGAATTTACTAATGCAAGGAGAGAAATTGAAATACTTACTGTAGTAATTGTAATACTCATTTACATCATCATTACATCAATTAAAAAACTCAAAATGACAATATAAGTTAAACCTAAGTAAAATGAAGTAAAACTAAGTATTTAACTTTAAGTAATTTTTATACTTGGGAAATACTTGGGAAATACTCAAGTAATTCATTTTTAAGAGTGAATATGTTTCCCTAAACTACACAGTTTAAGATGGGTGAAGATTTAATAGATATTCATACATTTGGTATAATTTAAAAAATCAAAAACAAGATATTGAAGTTGCTGAGGATCATTTCAAGTAGATATGCATATTTGCAACTTAATTACAAAACGAATGCACCGACTACCTGGTGTTGAATTGACACAATACTGATCAAATCAATGCTATTTCTTACCTCGCTTCCTCATTCTAGAAAATGGCGATCTACATTTAAAATGGCGGAAATGACATCGTACATCAAAATTGTACTACGGTATATTTTGTCACTGTACTTTGTCGATAGTAAGGCGTGACCAATGATCCTTATTGCTGAGAATTAAGGAAGATCAATATTCAATAGTTTGATACACACTTTTTATTATATTTTATGTGTTTTCCAATGCTGCCCTTTGTGCTTCCTTATGATGTAAGAAAATACAAAGAAAGGCAATTAAAAAGTCATAAAATACAGTAAATTGTAATTATTTTGAAAATAAATAGTAACAGAGTGACAATGATGATGTGAAAAGACTGAAGTTTCCTTCAAAAGGCCATTTTCTACATGTCAATAGAATGACCTATAATTTGAAATATAAGGATCAGAATGACCTGATTTTGGGATTTGGTTACCAAACAAAGTCCCTCCTTTGATATCCTTTATTCTAAATATCTTGGGGGCTAATATAGGGTATAAAGACACTCGTCCTTTAGATTGACGATCCATAGATGAGTTTCCTAGCTTTGAAATGTCGTTAATTCTCATCGTTCAATGACCAACATTTTCATGAATAGTAGCAATTTATGCATGTCATCCCATAGATAGTATGCCATTCGAGTTTTAGATAGATTCAACCAACACCTTTTTATAATGAATTAAATGAAAATTATGAATTTTTCCATGAAAGCCTATGGCAGGCAGACCCCACCAAAACAAATAAAACAAGTGCAGACATCTATCTATTAGGCTATACAGTAACTCCCTTATTAACATACAATCAAAATGTTATGACAAAGTTTCAGTATTGTCACACTTTATTTTTTATTTTTCAACTTATATATTAATATATTTCCTATATTAATCTTATTTAGGCTATTTACTATGCCTATGGATATATGTGGTCCCTAATAAATATTCATATTACAATGTCGTGTACCTGGATGTTTTCATATCTCTATTTGTTTAAATTTGAATAAAAAATACATAATGTGTTAAACGTATAGGGAAAATGTTGCCAAACTTATTGAGGGGAGTGTACATTAAAATGTATGTAGTGAATATACAGGGCCAGTGTTGGACAAATAGAAAAAGACCAGTCCCACCTCAGAGAAAGGTTGGAGAAAAATGGGTCAAAACCGACCATGTGTATAAAAGACCAACTATAAATGTAACCTTAAACTATATATTTATAGAATCCTTGAATACCTACATGTCAATCGTATTCAATGTTTTTTCAAATTTTACCCATTTTGTTATTACCCGTTTTAACGAAAGGCAAACAAAACAAATTGGGCAGGACCGTCCCAAAATTGTAATTGTCCTGCCATAGGATCCAGACTTACCAACCAACCGTTTTAAAGGGAATTATTTTTTGGCAGAAATTCATCATATTTCTTGTGATAATAACTTAATAGGAAACCCTAGGAAAACAATTTCTCAAAATGATCTAGTTTTGTCATTTTTATTACATAAATAAAGTAAAGAAGAAATAATCTAAAAGTTACTTGAAGGTAGTATAGCCTTGATAGTCTATTTTCGAAGGTATCAAATTTTGGTGAACATTAGGCTGAAATCAATGAACTGCATGAGTTGCAATGGTCAAAGGTATGACTTTTACTTGGTATTTTGTCACAATTTTACAATAATTCAGCTCTCATGATTCTTTGTGCAACAGTTATGATTTTTTAAGTCAGGAACATTTGAGCGCTAACATAATTAAGGCTATCTGTAACGAAACAAAGTGGGTCATCCCACTTTTAATTATGGTGTATATGTATTTGGAGCTTTCTAATCTTCTTTTCGTTATATTTGATCAGATACCTCTATCCTTCTTCAAAAAATAAAATTACATGTAGGTCTGTAGGGACATTGACATGATTTTTAAAAATTCTGATTGTTTTCAGGTCTATCTGTTCCTTCTAATTCTTGAATCTGTATCAAAATGCTAAAGGATGATTCAGATTTGGGACACCGGTTTGTTTTGTATAACTCTAGAAAGGCATCACCGCTGTTAAATATGTCATTATATTATTTATTAGCTTAATAAATACTATATTATAGAGTATCTTTGATTTATCAAACTAGTCGCCTTCACCTTTGATTTAAGCACTATTTTTAGGCCATACAGACATGTACACGTGCACTTTAGGTCAATGTCGTACAATTTACAACGTTTTCATCAAATAAGTATTTGGAAGGTCAATGTACAATTTACAACGTTTTCATCAAATAAGTATTTGGAGTAAAGTCCACTTCTATAGTCATGTTATTTTTGCTTTAGTTTACCCTGAATAAACCACGGTTTTTAAAACCAAGATTCGATGTGCTTCGATGTGCCAGACAGTTTTTACAGATTTCCGATTCGTCCGCAACAGCAGTTTGACAGTCCCCACGTTCACGTACATGATAAAGTATATTATGTATATATTGTAAATGACTAATTCATTTTAACATGACTGCTCGATTGTGTTTAAAGTTACACCGTCTACAACATGTGTTGTAGAACTGCTTTCAAACCTATTTTCTAATATTATTCCGGTGTTGCTTCAAATAAGGGAGGCTGGTTAGTGGCAGCGTTGCTATTGTTTGAAGGGAAGCGTCTGTTTTTGTTTTGGCACAAAGAATGCCACACTTTGGGATTGTAACATTTTGGATCGGACACCATCTTCATGAAAAGATTGCGTTTCAGCTTCGCGGAGCTAATTGCGTTCCGGTCTGTCTCGAAGCTGATATCTTTCTTGTAGAAAAACACGTCATCATCTTCCTCGACCTGGAGATCCTCGATTTCACAGAGCTCCTCTTGTTCTTTGTTACTGTCAATGTCCACAGAGGCGATGACGTCTTCAGTTGTGGTTGTAATGACTTCCCAAGCGTATGTGATGTCATCTTCATTGGCGTTCTGGGCACACACAGCAAACCGAATGATGTAATTGTCATTCATCATTGCAGGGACCATGTGGATCTTGCCCGAATCATTGATTGCACGTAACAAACGTTGACTCAGGTGGTTTCTCCCCTGGAAATATTTATGGTTCAGGTATTTTAATCATGCTTTAAGACATTATTATTCGATCTTACAGAATCTGACTTTATGCATTCTAATAATTTACCTTCAATCTAAAGCAAACCAGTCCCATTGTAACCGCTCCTAATACTTCAAATCGGCTGTCATTTCTTACAAGGGCTTCAAACCTTTTTGCCAAACGAACATGCTGTAAATCAAAACATGATATATCTGAACTTTATGATATTCAAAGGATTCAAAAATATACCAATAATGTGTCGAAAATTAAGACCATACATTGTCCGAGACCAAGCATGGATTTAGTATTCCGCGTTCTTATTGGTCAAAACTGAAAATGCACTTTTATTAGGCTATCTAGTGTGGCGGATGATGTTGTGCGGACTATATTAGTATCAATATACTATATACCTCCCTAATGTACTTCTGAAGACCCTCAATACCGTAAGATCGTATCACGAACCACAATTTCAGAGACCGAAATCGTCTACTTAAAGGTATACCCCAATGCTGCAAAAAATAAATATCAAAGATTAGAAACATAAAAAAGAATCGGAATAGGAACCTCAATTTTTCCAATACTTCTTCGTAAAAGAGTTCGAAATGTCTCAAACAATTTTTATGTCATGAAAAATACGATATGGATAGTTAAACAATATTTTCAGATTTAGCACGGGGCCTTTAAATATGGCCCGGTCTGATAGACTACGTAGCTACGAGACTTGGCTACCCACCCTGAAGTCTATGGCCTGGTCTGAATGGTGATGTTGGAGGTAGAGAGGATCAACTGTAAGCGCTGATGTCAGGACATGTCGGTCTTTTACCCTATACAGTAGGACGGCACAAAAATGTTAAATATTATATCAAAGTCGCCCTCATTTCATTCAAAATCAAAACTTTTACACAAAGGTCAGTCAGACGAAACATTAAATCACTTTTAAGATCGTGACGTCGTGAGTGAATAATTATTCTATAGCAAAAGGCAGTACTGCGCTTGGGCAACACTAAAGCTAAGTTCACACCAACGGCGCTTTGATGGTACTTTAATGCGGCCTGCAAAGCGGCCTTGCACGTAGCATTAAAGCGCCATCAAAGCGCCGTTGGTGTGAACTTAGCTTTAGTGTTGCCCACTATGTAAGTTGAGATTAAGCAGTATAGAAGATCAGTTTGACTAACAATATCTTACCACATAGCGGACACATCGAAGTTGACCAACATCCATTTATTTGGATTCATATTTATCGAGTTGACACACTGAAAGAAAATAAAAAAGTATTGGTCGAAGAAATCTTTCTGGAAATATACGTATTTCATATTCGATCCGGAATAAACTGGATAACTGTCCCGTATATGATTAAGATAACGATGGGTGTTTTTATGGATATAGCTTAAATATATGTTTAAAATGTATGCCAGAACATAAGTGGAACATGAAATGAGCGTAAGACTTTGAACATACCTCTATGCCTTTCATATAGTGCTGAAACTCAGGGCAGATAAAGGCACTGCCCGCGTATGCTGCGTCTACGTGAAGGTAGATGTTTTCACGTTCGGTCACGTGAGCGATTTCATTTAGATTGTCAAAGGAACAACACGCAGTAGTGCCAAGAGTACAGCACACGTAAAATGGAATAAGACCTAATTTTCTATCTTCCTGTAAGTAAAAGAAAACGTCATAATTTGGCATATTGATATCAAGGATGTCCAACGCCATAACTCGAGGCCCGGGAATAGACCTCTGCGTGCATCTATCTGCGTACATCTATACTTGAAAAACATCTCTGCTGTGATTTACACATATGTGCCGTACCAATGTACGTGGGGTGGATGAAGATATGGATTCTAATCAATTGTTTCTACATCATCAGCTGGTTCATTCTTGGTCCAAAAAAGGGTATTTCAAATCTTTGGCAGTAAAGCGCAATCTTAAAAGATGCAGTTGGTAGTTTTAACACCTTATCAGTTGACACATAATCGGGAAACCTACCTCTATGGCATTTGCCAGTGTGTAGCCACGCATCGAGTAGTTGTCATCCACGTCCAAAAAGCGCATTTTTACAAAACCGATCATACCTGCCTTCTCAACAGAGGAATGTGCCTGCAAGTCAAGAAGTAAAGCCATGGATAACATTTTCAGCTTTAATTACATTCTTAAGCTCATACATCCGACAGAGCTAGAGGTATTGAGGAAGGAAGAGTGTGTAGAAATCGTTATTTGATTCTAATAATTGCGGAATAATTGTTATATGATTTTTCAAATTAAGTAACAAACTTACAATTTTAGAGCAGTATCCCACAAGTTTAGACAAAAGAACTCCATCTTCCACGAAAGGAAATCTATTTTTCAGCTCCCTTATTGCTTGGTGTCTTGCGGCAAGTACTGTGACGAGGATACACTCACTCGCAGAGCCTTGTATTACTCCGCCGCCAAGGCCGCTATCATGCATAAAAATCTGTGGTAAACCGATCATCTTGCCAAGCCAGTCCAGAACTATGGTCTCCAACTCTGTACACGCAGGACTTGCAGCCTGAATTGAAAATTGAATTTTTTACATCATCAAATAATTCAGACTCGTTAATTTACTATTATGCATGATTATTGAATATCATTTCTTGAAGGTGAAAGCGCGAAAATAGCAAAGACTGGCAGTTCGAATTTAAAAAAATTATCTCAAATGTTGACAATATCCAAAGGCGTGGTCACGGGGGGGGGGGGGGGGTAAGGGGGTGCGATGCCATTTGTGCATTTATAGAAATTCCTAACGATGCAAATGAAAGAAGTCAGACGTGAACGTTCTAAAGAGATGAAACTGAACTTAGATAACACATTTTGGTGACGATATATTAGATACGTAGACCTACGTAAAAGTATGCAGCTGACGCAGCTGACGTATGTAGTTTCTTAAGACCATTAGTCATTAGTGATTGAATGGGATTCACATAAGAATCATATGCTCGGCAAAGATTCAGACATCAATAAAACTCGAGAAGATTACAATTGATAAACGCTTCACATAGATCGTTAATTATTTCCACATATTTGCAAACTCCTAGGAAATCTTTATTGTTCTGCATTGTAAATCATTTCTAATTTTCATGACGATTCTATAGCGAGATTAAACAGGGCCTGAGTTCGTGTCGATTCATACGTTTCATTAACACCAGTGATTTTAGTACATTCCATTCATTTGTCGAATTATCCTCTTGTTAGGTATTCATAGCAAATGATGAAAACATTTTCGAGTGCTCAGTAGTTGGTTATAAAAGAATAGATTGTCTCGTACATCTCGTTTTTTATTCTATTTTTGTATGATTCAAGTCAAATTAGTATGAATAAGTCCTCAATGAACAGTTGGCAAAGTAATCCACCCGGTCATTTTAAAAACTAGGCTAGAGTACCCTAAAGCTAGAGGCTAGTATAAATCAAACGCTTTTGTTGAAGAAGCTTTTTTGAGCAAACGAGTCTGAAGAACACGTTTTATTTTTATATTGCCAGAAAAAACAGGGAAATGCGGTTAAGTACTAATTTGTATTTCCGCAAAAATGTTATGCGGTTAAGTACTCATTTGTATTTCTGCAAAAATGTTCTTTTCTGTATCTATTCTGAATTGAATCACTCACCCAAGAGAAGCCGACACATCCTATGGCATCGGAGAGCATGTCTCCGAGAATTGAGGGGTAAGAGTTGCCGGCTGGGAAGTAAGCGTGGAACCTGGGGTGCTGCCAATGTGTCACCTGTAAACAAGCTTGAATTGAAATGCTCATGATCGCAGTAATGTAACGATATAAAGTCTTTTTAGCTAAAAGAAAGTAATATGTAAACAAAACAGACATGTTGAAAATTTTTGACTTGTTAGCAAATGTGTAATTTCTACACAAGGGAACTGTCTCAAGTCTACGAAACAAAATAGTTAACGCACTCTTGAAGAACTTAAGAGTCGTTTAGATTATTTTGTATGAATTCACTAATTCACATTTACCCCTGGCATGATAGTTTTCTCAACATCTTTTATTATCTGCTCCCATTCCTCTCCCTTCTTAGGCGCCCTTGAGTCCAACATCTTCCTAAGATACCCAGGCTGTACATCAGGGGTTACTCGTCTCTTATCAATTGTCTCCATATAGTCTGCAATATAGTCCACCATCTCCCGACCTCGTTTGCGGAATTCCGAAGCGTCCATGGTGTATTATCTGTAAAAATGTGTCCCTTATGATTATTATCTTGTATGGACCTGTCCGTCAGACCTGTATGAAGTATACGTTAATAAATACACTCCGCAAAAGTCCAAGTGGTACAAGTTTTGGACCTACATGTACAGTATCTGCGTATGGTGTTTTCATACACATACGCGTACGGTACGTGTAAACAGTTTATAAAAACTTTCCAAATCTGTAATTTAACAAAAAGTTAATGAAAGTGTAACATCAACAAAAATGTCACACTTTCAACCAAAATGCGCAAATAATAACATTGAATAAAGCAGAGGTTATGTTTTTCATGTTTTCTAATGTTGCCCTTTTCTAAAAAATGTTGTATTAAAATAGCTTTAATGTCGATTCAAGTTATTCTATCGTAGTTTTAAATTTCTATGTATTCTCTTAAGTAAAATTGAAAAAATTGAAATTTCAGGCCCTTCCTAAAAATAGTTGTATGATCATAATTTAATTACATTTTCAGATTAGCAACTAAATCATACTTACCTAGTATTTAATTGATTTGATGTGTTGATTTTCTACCCTCCTCTAACAAATCTAACAATTTTTGAAATAGGAAATACCATTTATCGTTGTCCACCTAACGACTACACAATAAGCTACGATGGGTAAACGTCGTATTTTCTATCCCTCAATGGTCCAAAAGAAGGATATTTGCTATCTCTTATCTAACAATGATTCCTTTACATAGCGGCAATATCAATTTTGGAAAAAAATTCAATCCAATCTGAACAAAACGATCTTATATATTATTCAATTCTAGTCTAATCAGCTTTCGACAAAGTGCGCTCCTTGGTTCACGATGCTTCTGACATTTGAAAATACTTGAGCGAAATTGAGGGGAAACGGAAGTCCCTGAAATTGACAAGCTCTAAATATATAATTGTTGGCCTCCACTGGAATTCTTGACTGGGTGATATTAAATACATCAATTAGACTCATAGAGATTAAATGTTTGTTTAACTCCAAAGCAGAATCTTTTGGTAGAATACCCAGGTGAAACCAGGCTGTTTTATTTTATCTAAAATGGCTAAAATACACATCTGAATAACCTATCATCCAGGTCATATAAAATCAATAGATAAAGGACGCAAAAGAAAAACTTGACAATGTTTTAGTATGAAAGAACAGGCGTCGCGAAACGGATATTTGATTTGTAAAGGCCTCAATATATCTCATCACGTGATTATAATCGTGTGCTTACATATCTTCATTTCAATACGTCAACGCTTCTTACATGCTAATTACAATTTGCAATTTATTAAGGGTATACCATCAGTCAGTGAGGATGAAATTGTTCTATATAATGTTCTACATGTATATAATAGTTTATATATAACTCATAAACAAATAGACATATATCCGAATCTTAGTTATTTTCCCACATTTGCAAATATTGATTGATATTTCTATAAAATATTCGTATACACTTAAAACTGGTTTTAGAAAGGCTTTTTGTGCATATAATTATTTCATAACATTTATCACACATTTGGTTTACTGCCAAGAGCAATTTCTTTTATTTGCATAAATCTATACGATTGTTCTGATGTGTATTGGACATCATAATAATACCTGAACAGATGTATTCCAAGACTTTATAGTTTGATTGTACCTGTAATGACGATGTCGCTTCTACCTGAAACACTTACCAAAAGAAGGCCTTCTGTTAATACCACACGACATGGTTTCTAATGTTATTGTGTCTTTCAAAGTTTCAAAGACAAATTAATGACAGCACTAATTTTTTGAAAAGTTTTGGCCGAATACCTTGATTTCAACGTTCAAATGAGCGATTGTTTTAGGATGATTAATTCATCAAACTTAAACTATTAATTCTTTCTGAGAAAATTTAATAAGATTGAATAATGCTATTTAGATATTTAAGCGATATTTAAGCTCATGAAAGTCTATTTAAGATATTTTGGGGAAATCCATTTCTTATTGAGAAAATATCTTTGTTCAAAGAAACAGTGTATAATCATTCATTTGACACAGCTTCTTAATAGATACACTCAGCATGCCTGCCGACAGACAAGCATTCGAAAATGTGACAGCTAAGTCTAATAATTAAAATGATGACATCATATATAATGTCAACTAAGGAACGTCTCCAAGCTTAATATATATATATTAATCTGATGTTATACAATTATGATACAAACCTACTTCACACCTAAGAATTTACAATTTCCTGGTCATTGAATTGCTGATTAGAGATTCAATTAGACTTCGTAGTGTTCACCTGTCTCAGCTGCTCTTGTCTATTACCCCAAATAGGCCTATATATAAAAGGTTCAAACAGCACATCATAAGGGGGGGGGGGGGGGTCGAACAGGTATGAATACATTAAGGCGTTCGTTGTTTACGCCTGTGAATGTTTATGCAAACTTAAATGTGCGTACATAATTATGTTCACATACTACATAAACAAACGACTGGATTTATTACATTGGGTAACTTTGCAAACCAAAGTGTTGTTAAGTTGTGCAGCCTACGCAGCCATTCATCTTTATTTTTGCCAAAGATAATATTCCATAAATGGTCGCGTTGATCATTTTTAACTATCGTGATAAAATAGTCTCATTCACCCTAACACGGTTTATTTGAGTTTCATGTAAAAGTCACCTAAAATATCAAATCAACCAGCTACTAGTGGACAGTTGCCATGGTTACGTTTCCTGTTCTTTAGGCGCTTTTCGAAACAAACAATTAACAATCGCCCCCATTCATTAAACAAATACGCTCAATTGAAATTGAAACTTGAATTGTAACAAAGCAATATATACTAATACCAACTAACTGGTCAGTTAGATAGAAACTAAACTCAAGTTTGGAATAAGTATGTTTGAGAAAATAATAGATTTGATTATTAAAAAGCCAGAGAACAGAAGCTCTTCACAAATAGCTGATGTGTTACCATGGTTACGAAAAAAGAGTAACATTTTAAAGGATTTGCATCCAGGTAAAGCAATTAAAAATATAACACGATTTGCTGTATAGAAATAAACGAGCTGTTTTTTTGTTTCATTTTAAAAGGATAAGGAAAGGACGAGATGAACACTGAGTTATTGTAAAAAAATCGTACATATGACGTACACGGACCTGGGGACAATTCGGGAAATACGGGCTAATCTCAGCTTCAAGCGTTAATATCTGCCTTATTTAAAAAGCTAACTATGTGCATTATATATCATTTTGAAGTGTTTTTTATTCGCATTTCACTGAAATCATTTTTCCTTGAAAAGTTTGATGAGATCTACCATATTTTTAAAGTTAAATGTACTCCGACATCGTCAAATACGCTGTAAGACGTAACATTCCATGCTTACACGGTTCGTTGAATTCGGGATAACTTTTGAAATACTGATCAGAATTTTACTAAAATTTCACATTTTATTCATTGAAACATGTGCTTTTATGACGTCACAATTGCCTAGCGGCTAAAGTTCAAATCGTCTTATATGAACGCTTGTAAAATTTTCAAAATTGTGTAAGGTTTTGAAGACGAAGGAGACTGGCAATAAGTTTACCTTTATTTAACCTCCTAATTTAGGTCTGATTTCAAAAAGAATTTAACTGCACAATATTGTCATGGCGAAATTTACAAAACAATAACCGATTTCTTTATTCTTCAAATAATAAGAAAATAAGAGTTGCTTTTAGAGACTTGAAAAAATGTAACGCATCGATTTTTTACCACAAATCCCATACATATCAATTTTTGCTAACGCCCCGAGTGGATTTCCTGACCGTTTTTCAAAAATCAAAAACATTTTAGAAATATTGTCCTCGAGATTTTGTTGCTCTGTGAATTTTACCAGGATTGAATAAGAATAAAGCATCTTATTTCTAGGTTGACTAAAATTGACAAAATGTAACGCTTGTCGTTTTTGACGTTATAATGCTGATTGCGCCCTATACTGCCCATTGTATTGTTTGGTATTTTGACGCCATAATGTTACTCTAATTGTCCCCAGTTTCGTGCGACGTGTAACAATATTTTACTCGCATCATTCTTTGTCATGCCTATTTCTTGAAATATCATGTTTTTGCAATTGTTCTGATTTTTAGGATTCAAATATCATGTAGTCTTGCATCCAGTCTCTAATGTTTCTTTGGGGCTTGAAGCAAGATTAGTTCTAACTATGAGAGAAAGTGACGTCCCTCTCTCTTTTCAATATTAATTTAGGTCACAACCCATGGATTGACTTAAATTTACATGTTTTTATATTACATGAGATCTTCAATGATAAGGTATCCGGAAAAGGTTAATTTAGAATCGTAATAATTGATTTTTCATGATTGCTTTTGAAATCTTACATTCTTTAATAGCAGTTTTATAAGTACTATTGTATTCAATAAAAATCCGTTTGATTTTTGTCACGCAGATGTCCTGTCAGTGATTATTAAGAAATGTCAACATAAGCATGCAAGTCCAGATGACGTCATCATTCAACAAGGAGAAACGGGAGATTGGTATGTCATTTATTAATGTGTATAGTGTTTTTAAATTACACTGAATTATTCAAATTCGTAGCATAAACCAATAGCTAAATATATCTTATGGTAAATTATTTTGATTATGTTTTATGGCATTTATTAGTTGATCTTCAGTATAGTCTAGTTTTATCACGGACCTTTCTACAATTTTCATGCTTTTTAAAAACTTAAATTGTAGCTAAATATATTTTTAAGCCTTGCAATGGTAAACCATTTTTGCAGTTTCTACATTATTGTTAGCGGGACGGTTTCTGTCTATATCGATTCTAAAATTGAGGACGATTTGGGAATAGTGGACGTACTTGATAATGATGGAGATGATCACAAACCTGTGATAAAGTCTAGACGCAAAAGAAAGAGGAACGAATACGGCAAATTCATAGTCCATTTTGGTACGTTCGTTCAAATGTTATAAATATGTTTTCCAAACGCTGATATTTATTTTGTTACGGCTTGTATCTCAGAACTAGCACTAGCACTAGTTACTTTAACGGAACGTCAATGAACTTCCTGGTTATGATTTTTTTGTTTTCTCGATTTAAAGCGATGGTCTAAATGCATAAATTTAAACTTTATTTCAAATCAAATTCCAAACCAAGAGCATTTCTCAAAGCTAAACTATGTTGTTTAACATTGTGCCAAATGATAGTCCGCAATGTGACTTATACGTAAGTTTAAATCGAGAAAACAAAAATTCGTATTCAGGAAGTTCATCCATTTTGTTACATTGACGTTCCGTCAATGTAACTAGTTGTGGAACAGTGACTAGAATAGATTCACGTTTTGAAAGGCCTTGTGGTAGTTGCTGCTTTATTGTACACCGTTCTCTATTTTAACAAAATTAATGAATTTGATGCATTCTTTTTTCAGGCACTGGTGATAGTTTTGGTGAGCTGGCACTCATATCCACAGATGAGATAGATGAGAGAAACGCCACAGTTATAGCAGACGAGGACGCTGACTTTCTAGTCATTGATAAAACACTATATGAAGGGACATTGAAGGTAGTATAATCATTTCTGCCAATTCGTTCAAAAAGAATTAAAATCGAACATAACATATAAAGGAACACTGAAAACGGTATACAGTCAAAAAACTAGATTTATCAGAATGTCAGTAGAACAAAGAGAACACGGATTAAAATAATTTAACAGTAAAACCTTTATATCCTAACATCTATCTAATCAGACCGCCTCCCAATGTGACGACTTTCTCATGGTCAGTCCCGGCCCATAGACTCACATAATAAAAACACATGCTAATCCGAACACTTTTTGCCTGTCCTGATTAGATAGCGTTCGGATCAGACATGTTTTACTGTAATTGTTTAATGTGCATATATTTCAGGCATTCCAACAACGAGAATTTCAAGAGAAGCGTGAGTTTGTAGAGACGCACCCGATTTTCAGCAGATGGAGTATAAAACTGAGAAAGCAGCTGGAGATGAGCCTCACAAAGGAGAGTTTCCTCTACGATAACTGTATCAACAAACAAGGACAGCCCTTTTCTGGAGTCAGGTTCCTCTTTAGGTATTCAACATAGTATACTTCTTTAATAAATTGAAATAAAGTGAAGATGAACAATGCATGTTGTGCCTCGAAAAAAACATAGACGTAAACTTAAGATACATCTGTCGATTAATAGATTAATAGTGTTATTCATTTCTAGCCTCTGAGCCCGCCTCTAAGCCTTGTTACATGCACTTATAACCGACTATTTTAGGGGACATGCAGAGCTGTTATTTGATGCCAGTCAACATGAGATACAATATCCTTACATACTGGAGGATGCTATTAAACAAGAGGAAGAACTAGCTGAAGGCATTCACTTTGTCGATAAAACTAAGACTGTCGGGGCAGTCCTGGCAACGAGGCGTCCTCCAGAGAAGCCGATGTCTCAGAAATATGTTGGGTTGTGCAGTGTAGAGCCTGGTGAGATTATGGGGGATGTTGAGTTGGTATGTGGTCTCAATACCCATTTCCAGACTGCAGTTTGTTTATCGCAAGTGGAGACGTATGTTTTAAATCCAGAGAATGCTGATCGTCTGCTAAACAGAAAGGATTATGGGATAGGTGAAGTGATAAGGCTTTTAGTCGAGAGTAAACTTATGACGAGAATAAGTTCACTGCGAGAAAGAAATCTTTCTTGTCCTTTGATGAATCGGTTGTTATTCACAATGACATACGTGCCCAGGCCTCCATCAAGCCAACTACCACCATTTAAAATGTCCAAAGATATGCCATCAAAGGACCTACTAGATCGGTATTTGATCAAAAGTTTCAAAGAAGGAAGGACGACATTAGTTGATCCTGTCAACCCGGATTCGATTTATCTTCTTGAACAAATGCGAGAGAAGGCAAGGGAGAGAACACAGTTGATGCAGCGAAAGGTAGAACGCGGCGAAGTGACTAAAATATTCATCGAGAGAGAAAAATTAAAGGAACGAAAAAAGATCTTGGATAGGAAGCCACGGTCTCGGAGAGAACTCAGTGATGTATTGAAGAAACAATTCACCACTGAAAAGGCCGCTGAGAGCGAAGTGGCCAAGCGGCTGATGGGAGCAATCAATGGCGCGAGTAATGTTTGGCGGAAAAAATACGTCCCAACGCGTCCATCTTTAAATACTTACGCAACAACGACACATACTAAACCTATGGAAAATGATGAACTTGAAACTACAACGGGTACTCCCGTAGAAGGTGGAACATCCAATGCTAATATACCAAGCACAGGAAGAGAAGAAGCATTTTGGATAAATGAACAAAAAGTAGAGACATCAGAAACACGTGAAAAACACGTGCGATTTCGTGACAGTGATGCTCAACCCAGTGAATCTAATCCTGCTCAGTTGAAAATGTCAAGAAGTGATATGAGTAAGAATTCAAAACAAAATGAAAGACAAGCTTCAATTCTAAAATCATCTCAAATCCAACCTGAAAGTACTAAAACTAAAGAGAGTGTAGGTGGCGCTGTTGTGAAATGTGAAGTTAAAAAAGCAACAACAGAAAAAATAAAAGGAATTCATTCACATAGTACTGAACAAAGAGACCAACGAATTACGGATGTACTTGACCGATCAAAGGGCCGGCGAAAAAGAGACGCTCTCACATTTGGCGATCATCGACCCGGGGACAAATGGCGACGTATCAAAATGAAATTTATTTCTGCATATGTTACCTATAGGACGTCTATGGGAGATTCATATCCTGATTTCAAAGATTGGGAGACAAGTGACAAGACGCTAAGTTATCTTGAAAAACGTTTACAGAATTTCCACATAAATGTTACACCGAAATTAGATGGGGACCAGAAGGTAGAGTCCCCGCAGAAACACCTACATCGCCTTAAACGGTACACCGTACAGGTAAATATAGGGTCATTGGTGAGGTTAGTTAAAACATTTCTTTCAAAGAGAACATGTGCGTAGACGTGTTGAGGTTCTCGAGGGATAGGTTCTTTCCTTTTTAATATTTACTTCAACGATTAAATATAAGGTTTTAAGGAAAATAGCGACAGTAAACAATTAAGGGGAACAGTACTCTTGGAGATCATAATATTTCGCGATCATGCACGTGTTCTTTTAAAAACGTGAAGCGTTACCACTTTATTGTTGCTATTGTAAAACATTTACCAGTGGTCTCTATTCAGTAACACCAGGCAACAGAAAAAACTCGTGTTGGTCCTCATATGTTTCAGTTCATTTAATATCCATTAATAAAACAAAAGACACCATCCTCTGTTTTAATGTTGACCCAATTACTACATGTAAAACACAAATCAAATTATTGTAACTCGCTTCATGACCACATAATGAAAAATAAGCTAAAATAAAGTATCTCATAGAGTTTTGATTTTGAAATCATCTGGATCGCTAAACCTTTTACATGAATTCACGACATCTCAAGACTGAGAAGGAAGAATGTGACATAGGTAACCAAGGAGATTAGCATAGAACGTTTACAAAAATGAAATACTATACTAGATAAAATATCGCCATAGAAAAGAAATGGTGCCAAAGATCGAGCCTTGAAGAACATCTTATATAATATTTAATTGCAGGATGGGGGATGTAACCCTAAAGGAGGATCTATGGTATTGTTGAAGAAAAAACCTTGTGAGTTCGCGCACAGCAAATATCTCATTAAACATCCACATGTCAAGTAAGAGATCTTATTCCTTTTAATATGGTACTTTAATTAAGTCCGAGGTATTGAACGAATGGTTAGACACGCCTCGTGTATTAAATTCTGGAAACCTCGCACTGTTTTATAAAACCATGACAATGAGTCCGTTCTACGTTCCATTACATTCTGAGTTCCATTTCTTTTAAATAACCCCTCGTACAATGAAGCAAAACATTGTTTTATCAAGTTACCGAAAAGAAGAAAACATTTAAAGAAAATATTAAAACAATGGTAAGATAATAGTACACTCCCCTCCACAACTTTGCCAATCGGTAATTTCATTGGACAGCATACCAAAGCCTTTCAATGTTTGAATCCTACTTTTCTTTCTAATAATTGCAATAGTTCGAAAATTTATGAAAAAGGTGAATTTTCCTAAATCGTCAAACATAAACAGGCTTTGAAAAGTGATCCAAAATTGGACTTCTGGTTGCCAAACTAATGAAGGGGAGTGTATATATATACTAGATACATATATCACTTATGGAGGGGAGTGTATATATATATACGAGGGTTGATCATAAAGTTCTCATAATATCTCTCTAATTTCTTTATTTTTCAATATATTCCAATGAAATTTTCACAGAATGTACAGCATAGAATGTCTTATTAATTCAGCAAAAAATATTTAGTTTAACAGAAATATTAAATAAGAAACGGTTGCCATAGTAGCGGGAAATCAAGGCACCCGGGGCAAATAAAAAAAAATTCAGAGAATGAGCTTAATTAACCATGTTTACATACATAATAAACTCTCATGAATTACCAAACACGTTAAAATGTTAACTTGAATATGTTGTAAAGTGCTTTAACAATTAAATAAACCGATCGTGTAAATTGTGTGATGTCAAAGGGGGAGCTTTCATGCTCCGTTAGATGTGATACCAGAGTCTGACACTCAAAGCTGAAATATCAGAAATGACTGAGTAAGAGAATGCAACAGATGCAGAGATATTCAGCAAAATAAAATTCATACTGATAAAATGTTATGTTAAGTTTGTAAGATCCTCTGGTCAGACTAAACATGGTCTAAAACAAATATATTGCTAAGATATCAACAAAATTACACCCTGTGTGTGGTCTGTACATGTTGAAATGAACTAAAGGGGCAAAATCAATTTTCCTCAGGATATTTGACAAAACAGTCATGGGGTCTAACAGTCACTTCTAATGAAGCATAACAATCATCCATTATGCGATCACACAATTCACATGACCATTATAATAGTTCACAACAGTCAAGGGCTCATATTATTTGATAATTTAATGTGTTTGATAGCTTATTTGACAACTTATTATGTATTTAAACATAGTTAATGGGGGCTATTCTAGCTAGTTTTTTTATTTGCCCCGGGTGCCTTGATTTCAAGTTACTATGGCAACCATTTCTTATTTAATGTTTGTGTTATTCTAAATATTGTTTGCTGGATTTATATACCATTCCATGCTGCACATTCTGTGAAAATTTCATAGAAAATTATTGAAAAATAAAGAAATTAGAGAGATATTATGAGAACTTTATGATCAACCCTCGTATATACTAGATACATATATCACTTATGGAGGGGAGTGTATATATACTAGATACATATATCACTTATGGAGGGGGGTGTATCTTTATGCTTACGTATATTTACAGGTACAACATTGTGGATGAATTACCGAACAGACGCCAACTCCAAAAGACAAAATATTTTATGACGCTCTTCATGGACAACGCAATGAAAAAATTGGACGCTAGACTTGATCAACAAAGTAAATAGATACACCGAATCCAAGAGTTATTAACATTCTTGCCCCATTTTCGTCGTTGAAGCCCTCTTTTGAGAGGTGAATGCTTTTTAAAGGTACACATAAAAGGGACATGGAAATACATTGTTTAATACATCGATGATCTACTTTCTCCAAAAGTTGCTCGCAATGTCCCTAAATATTGAATAGAATTGTGGAATCCAAGCCTGAACAATCTCTTGGAGAACCAGCAGTGTGATAACGATGTTTTTTTACTTAAATTAAAATTGAACGACTAATCAAGTCAATAGAGGAGTTTCTATTTAGCTTTGAAATCTCGCTAATTCTCTTTTCAAGAGATTTTAAGAGATTTGCATATTAATCTCTAATGACATACATGTACGACCCCATGCAGACAGATCGACTAAAATTACATTCGAATGATGTGAGACTCGACATTCACCAGGAAACTTGAAATAATTTGTCACCCATAGAGCAAATTAATTCTTTACTGCTTGATAAATGGTGAATGACAGCCAAATTAAGTTTTTATAAGTATGAGAATAGCATGATGTCTTGATATTTCAAGGTAACGTCGTTTGAAAAGTGATGGCGGTGATTGAAAAAACCAATGTTAATGCTACCAGGGGGAATCGGACCTGCAGGCCTTACTATTTATACATGTTTTTTCTGTTATGAAAAATTCGATATGTGATGTGTATATTTCTTAGTTTTTCAAAGAAATCTACAAACATTTCGTTGCGGTTTTATCTTTACATCGTTTTTTTCAATCACCGCCATCACTTTAGTTACAAACGAGTTACCTTGAAATATTAAGACGTCGTGCTATTCTCATACTTAAAGAACTCAATGTGACTGTCATTCACCATTTATAAAGCAGTAAAAAAAAATTTGCTTCCTAGTGAATGTCGAGTCTCGCATCATACGAATGTAATTTTAGGCGATCTGTCTGCATGGGGTGATGTACTCTTCATTCTCAAATAGCATATTTGAATTCAGTGAAAAGTTTACACAATAGTAACTTCATGTGATACAGTTATGTTATTTAAATCATTTTCTCTGGCCTTTTAAACTTTATAAAAAAGTGTGGGTCAAATCTCAATTTTTGCTATTATTCGTTCAACAACCCAAATCATCATGATTAATCACATTATGTAACAGGATCAGCCCACAGTATGCCACTAAAGTTTTAAACAGATTCAATGAACACGTTTTGATAAATCATGAAATTGACTTTTGCGGGTATTTACAATAGAAGCATATAGCAATCTGGTCCAACCTAAACAAATAAAAGTAAGTGCTGACATCTATTTATTCAACTTTATTTAGCTATGTAGCAAAGAGTATCATGGGTTGGCATAACCTGCAGTGACATGTACAGATGTATATAAGAATGTGATTTTTTACAAAAATTGAAATTGGAAAACAATAAGAAAAGGTAATATTAACAGTTATGATGTTAACAGTTATGAATTCAATACCACGCCCGGTGATCGGAAAATGGGACTTACAACAAGTATTTATTACAGGTCGTGTAGACCACTGTTGCTTGATTTATAGCAAAAACATTGACTTTTGCACGTTGGTGGCGTTGCGCCTTTTTAAATAGATCTTATACGAGTATCGATTAAAAAAAATCACAGAAGACCTAACTTATTTTACCATACCGTGCGCCTATCCATTCAGCAATTCAATAGAAAATTTTCTCTTGAAAAAGTAAATCTTCCAGATTTGTTGAATTTTCTAGCAGAAATTGCCTGCTCCCCCTCCGTCCCATTTTCCGATCAGCGGGCGTGATTACTGTGTTTACTGTATTTAGAAACACGAGCCACCAATAAATTCCCATGTCATGAATTTAATGAAATTGAGATTACAGCAAAGAGAAGAAAAATACGTTTTTCCTAGTCATTCATTCCTTCATGCTTACTTGACTAGTCAGGGACATATTTTCTTACGAAAGTTCCCCTCAAACATTAAATAAAGGTGGTTAAATCAGAATGACTGATTAGACGGATATGTTTCAGGGGTTTATTTCTCAAAAATCAGTAAAGTTGCGAATAAGTATAATAGTACCCTTTGCATTCGTTCGACTTCACTTCTTAAAAGAGAGCTTCCGTCTGTAGTTTAACTAGACTCTGCACGCAGGGTAGTATAATAGGTGATTGGGTGAATGATTTACGATAACATTTTGGGGCCCAAAAATCTGCTCCTCCCCATATAATCTGGGCAATTTATATAACAACTGACATTACCGGGTAATTATCATTCAATTAAATCCCCTTTCCTAAAATAATTTATTCTTGAATTGTTCAGGAAACACATAAAATATAATTATATTTTATGATTTCGTCACCCAACATCATCGTTCTCATGTTTTCCTCTTGATATATGATTAAGGAATACCCAAAGAAATGGAAAAGTATGTTAATTCTTTTGAGCGTTGACTAAATTGTAAAAATGTAAGATAGTTTAAAACAATTTTGTAAATGTTTAAATCAACCCTAATGTCTGAAGCCTTTTTAATTACACGAAGTAGCATTGTGTGTGTGTGTGTGGGAGGACTCATTTGGACCCCCTGAGGATTAAAAAGTATTGGTTTTAAAAAAAAGTAGGTCAACAAAGGTCAAATCAAGGTCAACGTGACCTTGGGGGTGTACATTTTTGTCATTTTGTGATGGATTGCGTACATTTGCCGACTAACTGTATTTTACCTTTAGACATTCATGAAATGGTCAACAGTGGCTCGTTTTCATGAAATAAAAGGATGTTTGAATGGGAAATAAAGTATAAAAAGAGATGACGCAATGTTTGTTCATCCAGAATGTATTTAATGTGCTCCATTCCGAAGCTATCCCTGGATCTAATGAGTGATGATCATATTGTGTGGGCGATAATCCTGGGAATATTGAAACAAGAAAAGTGTATAGGTATATTATCATGTTTTGGTCCATGTAAAAGATTATTTACTCCACTCGGCTTGCCCAAAGAATGTCTATCCTTTCCTTACAATTTATGTTTTTAACATAGTACGGTCGAAGTAAGTAAATATGTGTTTAGCGTTGCCTCATCCCAAAACCTTCTTTGTCAAACCCACCGGCCCCTTCAAGATCGAGCTTCACTGCTATAGCAGCTTCCTGATGCCCTTTTGGGATTTTACCCTCAATCAGATGTGTATTTAGCAATTAATTTTACAAATCAAAGAAAAGCCTGGATAACACGGTCATTATACAAAAGTCCCAATAATCGGAAATTTAACCTGTTTGGCCTAAAATAGTTCAAAATAATCCTATTATGGTGGCTTTGTAAAACATTGACTCAACGAATTAGGCCTAGGTCACTTCTAGTTTACATGCCCAACTTTTCTTTTCGCATTTGTTACTACTGCGGTAAACGTTGATAAATTGAACACAGACAGATTGCCACAAAAATAAGGTATGTTTCACGAACTAGTCTTGCATCAAGCCCATCTTACGACCTCACCCTTAAACACCTCCATGTGTAGTAGATGGGGGGGGTCAAGAGATTTGATACTGGACTAATCAATAGCCAATGAATCTAAATTGGCCTCATTAGATCTAAGATTTATTCAATGATCATCTGTATTTCAATTTAAAATCTCGAATTTAAGAACGATGAATTCAAGATCGTTATCAGGACAAGATATACGTAATTGTTGTTTGTTTCAGTTCGTTGACTTCACTTCTATTCACACAGTGACTTGCATGCATATTTATCGTGTCCTGGTTGTTGTTTACAAGTTTGGAGACCTGGTTTAGGAAGTGGACATAGTCCTAATTTACTGAAACATAGACTAGTCTTAAAGCAAGAATATACTACCTGTGCGTCTTATGTGACGTAAAACATCTGGTAGAACTAAAAAAAGACCGTTTGATGAAGAAGGGTTTTCCTACTGACAGTATTAAATAATATAGGTATGTTATCACGTTAAGTATACAGGGTGTCCGAGGTCTCTTTACAATTACAAAAGTGAACGTCTGTGAAAAGAGACTTTATGGACACTCTGTATATTCCTGTATCACTATGTTACAATTTCGTTTATTTAGAAGTATTAAACTTTGATTTAGATTATTCATATTAACCAAAACCTCCCCCAGCCGCCCCCCCCCCTTTGTTGGCCCCAAAAATCTGATTTTCTCCTCATCAATTAGTCACATTAGGTAACAAACTGGCATAACAGAGCATTAATTTTAATAAATAGGGCCCAAATTTTCAGATTTTGGCCCCTCCCTCTTGATTTCCAAATATGCCCCTTAGTTACGCACGCGCCTTGTTTTCTGCTCGATCTGTCTACATAGAATGTAACAGCTAAAGAAGAAAATATCTGTGATCTATATTGTTCCTATTACTATGTATGTTACTATTACCATATGATTTTCCTCATTCCAATATAGAATAGAACTATAGATGACAATGAATGAATCAACAACAGTAGTGACCTCAAATGGAGGTGATCTCTTGAATAATTCAACTAACTGCCAATGTCAGGTTCGCCTTGGTAAGTATATATAAAGTATATGTTTAAGACTACATAAGTTACGGTTGGAGATCTAACCTCTCAGCTGACCCCCCTCGGTAGTTCGTGTTTTCCTGCTCATTCGAAACGTGAATTGATAGTAGCCTAAAATAAAAATATTTTGGCACAGCTTTGCTTTAATTTGCTGAGAGAATATTGTGATATTTGTGAAGTTAAAGTCAAAAAGGAAAAAATGATCGATCCCATATTTAATTTTCAATTTCAGGCTCTGTTGTCCTGACCCCCTTTGAGGTAAGAAATATGGACATATCATGAATTATTATGAATTAATTATGAATCAATTATTAATGAGGTAAGAAATATGGACATAACAAGGGGGAATGCGAAAAAGGTGAACTTTTTGACGTATTTCTGAGGTCGAATCCTTCTCATTTTGAAGCAAAAAACCTGCTTAAAGGAGGGTTTGCTAACTATAAAAGACATCATGAAAACATAGGTGAAGTTCATCCAAAATACTTGAAAGTTGGTGAGTTAACATAACTTTGTATGATCTTTCCAATGGTATATCACACTAGGCACCATCTATTTAGGTTCTAGCTGTAGCAGGGGGGACGGGACTTATTTGACACCCTGTATTATGAATTAATTATGAATTATTAATGAGGTAAGAAAAGAGGCTTTCAAGAGGTTAAAGAGTACATGCTATAGTTTTTCAAATCAAAGTCACATCATTCCAATCACTTTTCATCGATCAATGGAATAAAATGTATCAATAGAATAACCTGGAATATAGGAACTCTTCCCTATACAAATCGTAAACAAATCTTTATTTTTTGTCATAGTTATCAGGTTATGTTGAATTTCATTCTTTGACTGAAGTAAATAGAAATAATTTCAAAATAAAGATGGCAGTGTAATCAACCTATTTTAAATGTTTTCTCTTCGTCACGGAGGATTGACTCCCAGGGTTCCAAACGATATTCTGATATGGAGATGAGATTACAAAATTCGAATTCCTTGAAAAGCGACGCCATTTATCGCGAGTTTTGGTCTTATTTCGATCGAAAAAATCCAAAAACACACAAGACGTGTTAGAGATATTGGTTCGAATCTTTTGGACTGTTGATTATGAATTTATAGCCAGTTATAATTTCAGAAAATAACGACACTATTTGACATGTTCATGGTTGGAAAATATCGAGATTGCATTCTGGGATCCAATCCTCTTTGCGCTTCAGAGGGATTATAATACATTTTCTACCTCTTCTGCCATCTTTATATCGACCGTCCCTTGTGAATATATCCAGTCAATTGTATGTTTCAGAGTTCTGTCGTCATCGGAGTGTTATTTGGATTGTGCTGCCTCTTGGTCCTCACCCTCGCCTTCATCCCCATCTCGATAATCGGTAGGAAAATGAAAAACATGTCAGGGAAGGCATGAGAAAATGAGAGTTGAAATGGACGCATTCACTGTTATGCAGTGACAGAAAAATCATGACCAGATTCTTTTTTTGCTGGTACAACCAGACCTTAAAATACTGTGAGTTGTTCGGCAATGTTGTGATTTTAATCATGGTATGTTGAAGTCTGGTTAATGCCTATAGGTTATTTCATTAAAATGAGATGATTCTATTCAGCCCTTGTTTATATAAATATCGTCCCTGTAAAATTGGTATTATTACTGAATTAAAACAGAGAGAACCTTGAGGCCTCAACACCATTCATCCCATTTTTCTTCACTGAAAGGACTTCATTTATGCTTTTATGGAAGAAGTGAAATACGCTATTGGACCAAGGATGTCGGCAATGATCCCAATCATTTTTCATTGATAAAGTCGGATATTTTAGATTCTGATATCTAAGAAGCGCTCAGATTACAACAAGAGCCAACAAGTGGGGAATACAGTTACACCCTTTCCATCTATTGACGATCCTTTGTTTAGGGATGGCGTAGAAACAACTGACACCTTTTCAATCAAGATGTGAATTGATTATACCAAATAGTATATAAAGTATAAAATGCTACCAAAATGTTACTCTGGGATATCATCGAAGAAAGACTCAAGAGGAGAATAACTGCTGTGCCTCATTTTTACCCTTTTCTTCCAAAAACATGTAAGGCTTTCAGTCTTCTCCACGGGGCGTCCGTTTTAAAGAATTATTTTACCATGATCATAATACGGAATTAAACATTGGTTCGAACATGGCAATTACAATTAACAATATGTAAAGCTCTTTGTGAACATGTAAATGAATATTGTAGTTAGTAAAAATGTTAATTGTTCGATGACAAGATTGTGCTATAATGCTGCATCTGCTGTATAATAAAGGTTACAACTAACAATACTATTAATAACCCCATGGATACCAAATATATACGGAGATACGGCAGATAATTTTGGTACGCGCCACTAAAATCGTATCCGACTCATATGACGTCTTAAAAATAGTATCCGTCGGATACGATTTTTCCATTGGTTTTGAATTTGGCGCCTAATAATAACCATTTGTCTGTTTGATCTGCAACAAGATTGTTCCAAAATTATGTGCTCAGTAAAAATGAGTTAAATTTTTTCATGCAATCATTTTGTAAAAATAAGTTCACAGAAAATAAAATGATAAGCTATAAAAGAGTTAGAACAATAACAACTTTTAGTTCAAATTATTTAATTCCATACAAAAATGTAAGAATCAATAAATACTAACTAGGTGCTGGGCTCACAAGGTGTAGCTCAAAAAGTGAATTTTCTGCAACAAAAATGGCGACGGAGGAATACTCTTACCAGGAATTATAGGGGGTTTGTTTTATTGATGATGAACAAAAATAGATTAAAACAGGATAATCCTATCGACAGAGGTTTTAACGGACGGAAGGATAGATTGACGGATAGACAGACAGACGGAAAATTGAGTGATTACATTTGCTAAAAAGGAGACGTCCATTGAAAGAAGTATTTACGGAATGGTAAAATATGTTAGGTCTTCTAGAGTTCTTTTGAACCGATATGCCTCTAAAACATGAGATCTATTAAAAAGGCGCAAAGTCACAAACGTGCAAAAGTCAATTTTTGCTATAAATCCGAAAAAAAGTGAGCAATGTCGTCATTAGTATTGTGATAATAACGTCCCCTATACCTATTTATTACAGGTCGTGTAGACCATTATTGTTGCCCGATTTATAGCAAAAACATTGACTTTTGCCCGTTGGTGATGATGCGCCTTTCTTAATAGAAGGGTATCAGTTCAAAAAAATACTAGATGACCTAACATATTTTGCCATGCACTGCGCCTATTCATTTGGCAATTCAGTTGTAAATTTTCTCTTGAAAAAATAAATCTTCCACATTTGTTGATTTTTCTTGCAGAAATCGCCCAATCCCCCTCCATCCCATTTGTACGATCACCGGGCGTGAATATGTAGAATATCAAAATTGTCCGAAGCAGGCGTAATGTGCAGTAGACCGATTCAATAAAAGACAAGTTACGGTTGCGCTAATAATTTTTTGTGAAATATATAGAAATATCACCCAAATTAAATTATTGATATTCAAAAGAGGACATTTAAATCTGCAATATGTAAGAATATCAAAATTGTCCAAGGCAGGCGTAACATGCAGTAGACTGATGAACTTTCTTCTCCGAGACAAGGCTTAGTCCGGCTTTTTTAAGGGAATCAATCTTATCCAAAAACGCCAATATGTTTCTTTTACAATGATCCTAAATTATCCGCTAAAATAAGATCAAATATAAAAGTCTCGTGGGTGAGATCATGTTAGATGTAGTTTCATTGAATTCGGAAAATTCATTAAAATTGAAAACAGGGGGTCAACTTTTTAGATCACTTTCACTTGTGAGTTTTGAATTTTTTGTTTGGATAAGACCAAACGATTGAACTGAAGTGAAAAATGGCGGTTGTTTGATTTAGAATTTTGTTATCACAAAATGACTCCATATATGGCAGAATATCGAGATGGAACCCTGTGAGCCAATCCTCCTTATTTTTCATTTTTAGCCTATAGTAAAAATTCAGGGCCCGCATTTTCACATTTGAGGGCCAAATTTTCAAAATTGGGTCACTCTACAGTTTCAGTTCTGCCCCTGGGCTATATCATAATATTTCCTGCCCAATCTTGGACTTGGACATAGGCCTAAACATCAATTCATTGAGAACTAAAAATATTCTAGTAAGGCACGGGGATAAGCAAAACGAGGGCGAAGCCACGGACTGCGACTCGCGTAATTCAAAACGAGGTTACAACGCATTATAGCTGAACAATGGCAGTAAGTCCAAACTTAATTTGGAAGACATGTTAGGATTTGGGGTTGATTATTGGTTTGGATATTCTACAGAATAGCTAGTATGTTCCAGTCGGTGATCAACATATTCATACTCCATCTGCAATGGCATTCTTGGTGCTCGGCTGTCCAATAGTTTAGCATGAACACAAATGAATTCGAAATCTGCCACAAAAAATGTAATTTTGTCAATATTTGTCCCTAATATACCGATTTAAACAAAGGAATCAGAAATGACATCGAATTAATATAATTATTCATGTTCTGTTGTTACAATTACATCTTCGTGTGATATTTGGTAAGCGGAAAACGTACAATTACATAGAACATTGGAATTTATAATAGTCGCAGTCCATCCATCTGCCCAACGCAGTCCGCGACTCAGTGTTGCTTTATATCTGAAGCTGAACGCAATCACAGCCAAAGGTAGATAGCACAATGTGAGTACAGGTGTGGCCGAAATGGAGCAACTTTGGACAAAATTGAATATAAAGGGCTATTTTAATAGACCTACATCGTGTCTCAATCCATTCTGCAAATATCTACAAGCTGTCAAATACAGCTGAAATCATGAATTTATGGTAGCTAGCAATATTGATGGACTGTTGGAAAGATCATCCAAAATTACATTAACTCACCAACTCTCCAATTATTTGATATTTTCCTGATATCTTAAATACTAGTTAATGTACCCTTCCCCAACAGCTTTTATTGCATCATCAAAAAGCTAATTGTTTCGCATTTCTACTTCTTATAAAAAGTCTCACCACTATCCAATTATCTATATATTTAACCCTATCCACAAATTGGTTTGTAATAAACATATTACGTTGTCATCTTGCGCTCGACTGTTCTGCCAAATACGCTATTGAATTGCCATATTTCTAGGTCTTAAACGATACAATATAGCAATTTGGGACATTGATTCAGGTAATAGATATATGTTAATCAACGTAACTTTGAATGATAATCTGGATGCTGACTTTTCTTTTCCTGAAACAATAATAGCGTAGGAATATAGTTTACACTATCTTATTTATTTCGTGTTCGCGGCTGGACTGCGTTACTTAGAATACCAATGGAGGCTGTGTTGCGTTGTTGAAATAGCTTTGTTTACTGGACTGCGTCCACTATGAATGCGCAGTTTGAATCTAATTTTCTCCTCGTGAACACATTCTATTATCAAATCATTTTCACGAATTATACTCGGAGCCTCAACTAACCTTTAGATATCAGAAACGTGTTAAAACTCCTTTCAAATGTATAGTAAATTAAAAAATATGCACATATTTTACAGGTAAAATCAGAACTTTGCTACTGTTTTAGCTTGATCTGGACAACTGCTTATTTTCTTATCTACAGACCAACAGTAGATACAGAGTAATATTTTGGTCACCGCGGATTAGACACTACGATAGCATTTAAAATACCTGGATTTCTCTATTTTGTCGGAAGAAGCAGAAGGCACTGCAGGATGTCCCTCCATTTTGGCGCTGGGCTGCGGTGTAAAGTTACGCGAGTCGCAGTCCGTGGCTTCGCCCTCGTTTTGCTTATCCCCCGTGTAAGGGTTAGTTAGGATCGATTAATGATTTAGCCGTACGCTGCTCGTTCACGTCCCGTGCTTCGCCTATGGTGTTTCACTAAAACTAAATGTAAAACTCATGACGTCACTAAAATCAACATGGAAGACGAAAAGCAAATAATTACCAGTGATATTTGTTGAATAACTGCACATTTAGGTAAGAGTTATATGTCATATCTCACAGAAATATACTTATACATATTATTCATATGCAAGGGAAGTTTTGAGCGTACATTCGTTGTAGAAGTTCAAATAAACTTAATATTGTGCCGATGCCGAAAATTGAAAGAAAGAAAATAAATTCATCATTTTCAATGAGATTCTAGATGTCAGCTGTCTGCCGTTTTTCGTACATGTCTTCCAACAATAAAGATGGTGTTGTTGAAAATTTCATAAAGAATACTTAGAATGAAGAACCTTTGTAGACGTGATCATCTCATTTCGCTCTATTTGGAGCATACATGCGCATAGTTCAACAAGTTAAACCTAGTCTGGGCCTTATTTCTTATCTGACATATCTTGTGGCCCGCCCTAGGTTTAACTTCGGTGCCTATTCGGCCCTTGATGCAAAAAAATTTAATGGTGGCCTATGGTAGCGCATGAAATTCCATGCGCGTTTAATTAATAACTGATGGTGAGAATTTGCAACAAATGAAAGCATAGCACGGAAGTTAAACCCAACCACTGCAACACGAACATTCAGATTAAAAAATTAAAGCCGTGGTATTGGGTTTAACTTGTTGAACTAACATGCGCACAGCCAAGTGTAGACCCAAGGAGGATTGGCTCCCAAGGTTGCAAACAAGGTTGCAAACCTATATTTTCAATCTACAAGCAATGTGTTCAGAGATCATCATGCCTGTGCATGTCCATGTCAGCAAGGAGAGTGACCGATATTCTAGCAATAGCGCTAACCTTGACTTTGACGAACTTCAACAGTATACAGAGATGGAACCCCGTCACCCAATCCTCCTTGGTGTAGTCTGTAGTCTACTGGAAGTTGAATTGCTATCTGTGGAGAAATTGTAACGTCAACTGGCATATATACAATGCTGATACATATTAATTGATTAGTCGTATAATTGGCATATTTTCTTGAATTTTAACATTTAATGTCCCAAACTCTCACAAACTGCAGAAAAGTATACACCGTAAATCATATTTACCAAAATGAGTGTCTCCAAGGCTTCAAACAAGCGTATGCATAATGCATTTTTCACGAGTTTGAGCTGAAATTTCGCTAAAATGAAGTAGGCCAAGGGTATTCTCTGCCAGGTTTGTTTATTGTGGTTAGCTTGTAAGTGCTCAGAAGCAAATAATTCATGTGCGCAAAATAATCAAATGATCTGAATGCTATACTATTTACTATAAGTATTGTCTTGAGTTAAGATAGCCTAGTCTGTACATAAGACTACTAATGCGTCATGTTTTGATACTATTGTCAATAAAGGAATTATATATACTTTAAGATACAGACCTAAAAGAAGCTGTTTAAAGATGCATACATTGTCTCTTACTACCTGTTTCATGGCTTGACTGATTTGCTAGAATTAAAGAATTAGCTAAAGAATGTCACCTACGAGAAGCTAATAAACATTAATGAATGTAACTCTATCGGCTTTAATATGTTGATCATGAAGCATAAGGACGGTATCTGATTGAAATAAACCTAATTTTTTCAATTTTCCATTTTTCAGCGCAAAGTTGTTTTTTGCGCAAACAAAAAAAACTTAAGTTAAAGATTGCACCACCACCTGAATGTAAAAATATAGTTTACAGTGATTAACATGACATGTGGGCATGCATGCTCAAAATAAAGCAAACCAAAAGTCACACGTGTTCAGTAATATTGCATATCAAAACTCCTGAAACTTATGAGGAAGCAAGAGTTCATTTTACAGTTGATGTAATATCTCTTGGATATTATGCTTATGCTCAATGGTTGACACAGCAAAGTCTATCTGGCATTCATGGATGTTAACAAGATTCTGGAAGACAAGTGGCAATTTTATTCTTAAGCTTAATGCCTCTGTCACATTTGATCCACGGCAACCGTACGGCAGCCATAGTTCCCAAATCAAGAGAAATGTGCAGCATAGATATAGGGATAAGCATTACGATTTAGATTTTCATATTGATTTCTTAAAATTATGGCTGCCGTGTACTAGCCGTAGAGCAAATGTGACTGAGGCTTTGGTCTTATTTTTTTAATTCTTTTTGAAAAAGGTAGTTGGTTTCTCTTCATGGGCAATCAGTGATGTCTCATCATAGAGATAGAGATCCTAAAGGTAGATGACACAAAATAAAACTAAAGAAATATCTTGTTGTAGTAAGACCTGTAAAGGTAAAAGCCTTTGTAAATGGAGCACCCCTATAAGTGGAACTGAACACTTTTCAAAGTATTATAAATTTAACCCAAATAGAACTCTATTTTGAGGTACCAAAGCCATTCCGTTTGCATGTCTACTATTATAAAAGATACAAAGTAATGCTCTCCATACTTGGAAAAACATGAACCATTTGCAATATAAACTCAAGGCAGAATTGGGTGGTTATAGAGAATTATGGAATCTTATGATTAGATCCTCACATTTGTTCAGTTTGCAGTTTTGATTCAATAGTTCAGGCTGACTTGACAGCTCCCAAAATCACATAAATTATCCTTTTAAGTTTGGTGCAGATAATGTGCATTATGTGCCTGTTATGATAATGGGGCTAGGATTGTTGTTGAACAAATGGTCAATAGAGCAAATGTACATTACAAATAATGACTGAAGATATGATTAGCATAATGGAGCAATACTTTATATTGTTATACTTGTCACTGTGAAGTTCTTTTATCTCACACTGAAAATTTATTTTCACAAAAATCATAGTCTGCTCATCAGAAAAACTGCCAATGTACAACACTAACTGGTCTGGATGGAAAAACCATCCCTTGTAAAAACGGATACTAATTGATCGGAGTTCAGTAGTAGGAGCAAATGTAAGGCAGCAAATAAAATGTGTATCAATCCATCTATCCATATTTGAAATATGAGTTATTTAAATTTCGTTTGGGGGATGTGTATTTATGTAAGGGACCCCAGTCATTGATATGTAAACTAACTCAATGAGGTGGAAAAGATCAGGAGACATCAATTATCTCAAACTTTAACTTTGGAAGATGATGACATGATGGATTGTATTCTAAAAGTTGTTTGAGAATGACTTCAAGAAGTTTGCATATGAAATGGCGTTTTACATTTTGTCATTAATCTTTACAAGCAGTTTTCTATTCATAGCACTGGTTACAGGAGCAGTTATGTATCAACTATCAAAAGGATCAAAACAGTATATTATTACATTTACGTGAAATAAAAAATTAGAGGTCCACTTGAAAGTCTAACACATTCCTATATGAAATAAGATGCAAAGCAGATACTGTAGCACTTGGGAATTTTTGACTGAAAAACTCACAGGAAATGTTAACCAGTGGTTAACCACAACAGTTGCAGCATAAAATCAGTGGCTTCAAACTGACCATAAATCTTCATTTCTTATACCTAAGTTCCCCGGGAGCATTGGCGAACTTAGAACACTGGTACAGATTTTATGAGGGTGAGTTTTATGATGTCTTTAATAAGAAGAACTGGTCAAAATTGGTATGTTTGTAGTTAAAGACTTGGTGTTCAGGGTCATAAAAGACAATTGGACTTGGTACAGACAGGATAGGCTTTCATTTTTGTGTTGTGTTTTATGAGTGGGAAATGATATATTATGTTTATGAATTTTAGAAATATGTGAATTACAAATGGCATGATTGCTAAACAAAAGTGTCAGCCATATGAACAGAAGGCAGTAAAGATTTTAAGACATGCTTGACTTGTAAAGTCATTAGTTAGACATTTTTTCTTTCAAAAATGAATATTTATTTGATATTTCTCAAAAGGCCAGTTTTCTGAGTCAAGTGTAGATGGATTGGTTGCACTACTACGTTCATGTCAGTTGTATGGTATAGATTACACATCAGATAACTTCAATTTGTCCTGGATTTACTTACTGTGAGGGAAGGATATGAGATATATTCTTGCATTTTTGTATTCCTGCAAATATGTGGTATGAAGATGTAGTTGTAAATTACAGAGTGAGTATAGTATTTGTGTTCTTTTTATTATTATTCATATTTAATCGTTTACAAGTGAAAATAACATAGGTGATTCACTTAAAGTTAGTTTTAAATGAAATATATACATGTTGTTAAAGAGGCAATATCTGTTAGAGCAGATACTTTTGGTCCTCTCTAGTATTTTTTACAGTGATGTGTGATTTTTGATTTTTTCTTATACATGTACATTTTATATTGAATATAACTTGATTAAGTCCCTTTAAGGAAGTTGAACATGTTTGTTCGAAGAATTTCCCCAAGGCATACATTTTATAATATATCTTATGTAGACATCATCATTTGACAGGCAATATTTTGTAAGAATGGTAAAAAGTCGTTTAAAATGAAATCATGTTGAAAAATTAGGACAGCCAGTATTTTCAAACCAATTTTATAAAAAATGTTATCCATTGATGGCATTGTATCGTGAAAATCTCAGCAGCTGTTCTTTAGACTTCTCTGCCTTGTTTTTGTATTGCAGGTCTTCAAAGTCAAAATCCAGAAACTCATAAGAAAGCTTACTAGATATCTGTTAGAGAACTATGCATATCTAAAGTTATTCCATAGTTTAGGTCTAATCTGTATTATAACATGTATTTTGATGATATTTTTCAAATGCATGGAAAAAGTAATATACTGTAGCTATATGAAACATGGAGAATATTCCACAGATATCGCTTCTTCCATTGATTTGTAAATGATATCACTCGTAATCATAGGATATTCTTTCCTTAAACCATCTATCTAATTTTGATAATTTGCTATTGATAGAAATGTGATATAAGTCGGCATTTTTGTACATGTTGTGATTATGTATGTGATTTTTGTTTCAGTTTGTGCCTGAAATAGAGGCCCTTGAGATGTCTGAGGCGCCCCAACAACCACCATCGGCCCAGCCCACCCCACCCCCTCCAACCCAGAATCCCCCTAAACCACCGTCCCATCCCCCTACACCAGTGACAACACCCCCAGCACAACCAGAACAGCAAAATAGTCAACCACAGCCAAACAACCAACAACAGCTTCAGGCACAGCAAAACAACCAGCAAACAAACCAACTGCAACAGCAAAACAACCAGCACCCTGGCCAACAACAATTACAGAATGACCAGCAAGTAGTTCAACATCTACAACCAAATAACCAGCAAATTCAACAGCAGCAACAGCAGCAAAATGCTCCACAGCACCAGCTTATTCAACAGCAGCAAAATGGTCAACAAATACAACAGCAGCAACAACAGCATCAAATGCAGCCAAACCTTCACCCACCTAACGTACAGCGTCAGACATCCATACCCCAGAGTAGCCTACCGCAGGGTACAAGTATGCCCCCGGGGACAATCCTTCAAGCACAAGGGGCTGTACAACAAGGGGCATTATCCCATACACCACAAGGAACTATACATGTACAAGGATCTATACCATCAACTGGAGCTATTGCAATGAATGCAAGTCATGCAGCCTTGTTAGATAACACGATCCGCCCACCTATGGGTCAAACTGTACAAGTGATTCAACAGCCTATGGCAGTAAGTTCAACTGCGTATCTACAGCAACTCTATAACCAGCAGATCATGCTACAGAATGCAATGGGTAAGTCAATAACTAGGCTAAGGCAAGTACATGTACATGCATCATTCAAATATTTGCCAAAGTCAAGCATTTCTTGCAATAGCATTAATTGTGATAATTGTAGATGTGAAAAAATGAAGAAATCAAATTTTTGTAGATACAGATATCCATTTTTGTGTCACATATTGTATAAGGAGGGGGAGGGGGGGGGGGGGGGCAAAAATGAGCAAATTTTCATCTTTTAAATCTGCTCTATTTATTCTAAAAATATCAAGACTGCTATTGAATAGTTGAAAGGCTCATTACACATTTAACATCAATTCAGGTACACTAAAACATATAAAGTACTTGTAGAACACCTCTGTAAGTGAAAGGCTATTGTTTAACTTAATGCTAAATGGACCTATGAAAGTGAGTCACTTTTTAGAGGTAACACCGTAACAAAGGTGTTCCGTTACACAGGTTTTATTGTGCGTCCTGAATTTGAAGTATTGAATATCAAGCTGAATATTTTCTTGTATTTACAGTAGAAAATCAATTTCTACCCCCCGATCGATAAATTGGCAAATTTCGATTTTTATACCTCTCTTTTGTACATTCCCAAAACAGAAAAAGGATATTCCAATGATAACATTGCAGTCCATTCACATATCAAACAAGAAACCTATTTGGAAGGAAAACTGATTTTGGAGGCTGTGTTCCATGGCATATAAGTAAAAATATAAGATACTGTAGTGGCTTATAAGTTAGAATATAAGAGAGAGCCATCAGTTTATGAGTTATGCTTGTAATATGTATTGTCTGGTGGTCATAGACAGGTCATGCACATAAAACAAAACAGAAATAATTATTTGATTAATTGCACTGTAAATTATTGATTAATGTATCTATATAACATGTTGCTCTGAATTCTCTTTGTACAGTATAGCAACGGTATTACAGAACTGGTGAAATGATTGCCTAAATTTTGATATTTGTTTTGTACAAATAATAACAAAGACTGTGAAACAGAGGGCTTGATACTAATTCAGAAATGATAAGCTATATATTTAATAATATTTACTACAGCCTTTACTTTTCATTTGTAAATATTTTTATTAGGTGAAAAAATGTGAATATTCATAAAATGTTTGTATTGTTTGATGTATTGTTTTGTAGCAGCCATGCAGGGGTTAAACCATCAGCAATTGGGTATGAGCCCACGTAGTCCTGGGATGATGTCTCCCATACCACAATCTCCAACCACTGTTCAAGTAAGTACTGGGCACATCATATCTATTTCAATTATGTCAGCAGTTGGGTATGAGCCCACGTAGTCCTGGGATGATGTCCCCCATACCACAATCTCCAACCACTGTTCAAGTAAGTACTGGGCACATCATATCTATTTCAATTATGTCAGCAGTTGGGTATGAGCCCACGTAGTCCTGGGATGATGTCTCCCATACCACAATCTCCAACCACTGTTCAAGTAAGTATTGGGTACACCATATCTATTTCAATTATGTCAGCAATTGGGTATGAGCCCACGTAGTCCTGGGATGATGTCCCCCATACCGCAATCTCCAACCACTGTTCAAGTAAGTACTGGGCACATCATATCTATTTCAATTATGTCAGCAATTGGGTATGAGCCCACGTAGTCCTGGGATGATGTCCCCCATACCGCAATCTCCAACCACTGTTCAAGTAAGTACTGGGCACATCATATCTATTTCAATTATATCAGCAATTGGGTATGAGCCCACGTAGTCCTGGGATGATGTCCCCCATACCACAATCTCCAACCACTGTTCAAGTAAGTACTGGGCACATCATATCTATTTCAATTATATCAGCAATTGGGTATGAGCCCACGTAGTCCTGGGATGATGTCTCCCATACCACAATCTCCAACCACTGTTCAAGTAAGTACTGGGCACATCATATCTATTTCAATTATATCAGCAATTGGGTATGAGCCCACGTAGTCCTGGGATGATGTCCCCCATACCACAATCTCCAACCACTGTTCAAGTAAGTACTGGGCACATCATATCTATTTCAATTATATCAGCAATTGGGTATGAGCCCACGTAGTCCTGGGATGATGTCCCCCATACCACAATCTCCAACCACTGTTCAAGTAAGTACTGGGCACATCATATCTATTTCAATTATGTCAGCAGTTGGGCATGAGCCCACGTAGTCCTGGGATGATGTCCCCCATACCACAATCTCCAACCACTGTTCAAGTAAGTATTGGGTACACCATATCTATTTCAATTATGTCAGCAGTTGGGCATGAGCCCACGTAGTCCTGGGATGATGTCCCCCATACCACAATCTCCAACCACTGTTCAAGTAAGTACTGGGCACATCATATCTATTTCAATTATGTCAGCAGTTGGGCATGAGCCCACGTAGTCCTGGGATGATGTCCCCCATACCACAATCTCCAACCACTGTTCAAGTAAGTACTGGGCACATCATATCTATTTCAATTATGTCAGCAATTGGGTATGAGCCCACGTAGTCCTGGGATGATGTCCCCCATACCGCAATCTCCAACCACTGTTCAAGTAAGTATTGGGCACATCATATCTATTTCAATTATGTCAGCAATTGGGTATGAGCCCACGTAGTCCTGGGATGATGTCTCCCATACCGCAATCTCCAACCACTGTTCAAGTAAGTACTGGGCACACCATATCTATTTCAATTATGTCAGCAATTGGGGATGAGCCCACGTAGTCCTGGGATGATGTCTCCAATACCACAATCTCCAACCACTGTTCAAGTAAGTACTGGGCACATCATATCTATTTCAATTATGTCAGCAATTGGGTATGAGCCCACGTAGTCCTGGGATGATGTCTCCCATACCGCAATCTCCAACCACTGTTCAAGTAAGTACTGGGCACATCATATCTATTTCAATTATGTCAGCAATTGGGTATGAGCCCACGTAGTCCTGGGATGATGTCCCCCATACCACAATCTCCAACCACTGTTCAAGTAAGTACTGGGCACATCATATCTATTTCAATTATGTCAGCAGTTGGGTATGAGCCCACGTAGTCCTGGGATGATGTCCCCCATACCACAATCTCCAACCACTGTTCAAGTAAGTACTGGGCACATCATATCTATTTCAATTATGTCAGCAGTTGGGGATGAGCCCACGTAGTCCTGGGATGATGTCTCCAATACCACAATCTCCAACCACTGTTCAAGTAAGTACTGGGCACATCATATCTATTTCAATTATGTCAGCAATTGGGTATGAGCCCACGTAGTCCTGGGATGATGTCCCCCATACCACAATCTCCAACCACTGTTCAAGTAAGTACTGGGCACATCATATCTATTTCAATTATGTCAGCAGTTGGGGATGAGCCCACGTAGTCCTGGGATGATGTCTCCAATACCACAATCTCCAACCACTGTTCAAGTAAGTACTGGGCACATCATATCTATTTCAATTATGTCAGCAATTGGGTATGAGCCCACGTAGTCCTGGGATGATGTCTCCCATACCGCAATCTCCAACCACTGTTCAAGTAAGTACTGGGCACATCATATCTATTTCAATTATGTCAGCAATTGGGTATGAGCCCACGTAGTCCTGGGATGATGTCCCCCATACCACAATCTCCAACCACTGTTCAAGTAAGTACTGGGCACATCATATCTATTTCAATTATATCAGCAATTGGGTATGAGCCCACGTAGTCCTGGGATGATGTCTCCCATACCACAATCTCCAACCACTGTTCAAGTAAGTACTGGGCACATCATATCTATTTCAATTATGTCAGCAATTGGGTATGAGCCCACGTAGTCCTGGGATGATGTCTCCCATACCGCAATCTCCAACCACTGTTCAAGTAAGTATTGGGCACATCATATCTATTTCAATTATGTCAGCAATTGGGTATGAGCCCACGTAGTCCTGGGATGATGTCTCCCATACCGCAATCTCCAACCACTGTTCAAGTAAGTATTGGGCACATCATATCTATTTCAATTATGTCAGCAATTGGGTATGAGCCCACGTAGTCCTGGGATGATGTCCCCCATACCGCAATCTCCAACCACTGTTCAAGTAAGTACTAGGTACATCATATCTATTTCAATTATGTCAGCAATTGGGTATGAGCCCACGTAGTCCTGGGATGATGTCCCCCATACCGCAATCTCCAACCACTGTTCAAGTAAGTACTAGGTACATCATATCTATTTCAATTATGTCAGCAATTGGGTATGAGCCCACGTAGTCCTGGGATGATGTCCCCCATACCACAATCTCCAACCACTGTTCAAGTAAGTATTGGGTACATCATATCTATTTCAATTATGTCAGCAATTGGATATGAGCCCACGTAGTCCTGGGATGATGTCCCCCATACCACAATCTCCAACCACTGTTCAAGTAAGTACTGGGCACATCATATCTATTTCAATTATGTCAGCAATTGGGTATGAGCCCACGTAGTCCTGGGATGATGTCCCCCATACCACAATCTCCAACCACTGTTCAAGTAAGTATTGGGTACATCATATCTATTTCAATTATGTCAGCAATTGGATATGAGCCCACGTAGTCCTGGGATGATGTCCCCCATACCACAATCTCCAACCACTGTTCAAGTAAGTACTGGGCACATCATATCTATTTCAATTATGTCAGCAATTGGGTATGAGCCCACGTAGTCCTGGGATGATGTCCCCCATACCACAATCTCCAACCACTGTTCAAGTAAGTATTGGGTACATCATATCTATTTCAATTATGTCAGCAGTTGGGTATGAGCCCACGTAGTCCTGGGATGATGTCCCCCATACCGCAATCTCCAACCACTGTTCAAGTAAGTATTGGGTACACCATATCTATTTCAATTATGTCAGCAGTTGGGCATGAGCCCACGTAGACCTGGGATGATGTCCCCCATACCGCAATCTCCAACCACTGTTCAAGTAAGTACTAGGCACATCATATCTATTTCAATTATGTCAGCAATTGGGTATGAGCCCACGTAGTCCTGGGATGATGTCCCCCATACCGCAATCTCCAACCACTGTTCAAGTAAGTACTGGGCACATCATATCTATTTCAATTATGTCAGCAATTGGGTATGAGCCCACGTAGTCCTGGGATGATGTCCCCCATACCACAATCTCCAACCACTGTTCAAGTAAGTACTGGGTACACCATATCTATTTCAATTATGTCAGCAATTGGGTATGAGCCCACGTAGTCCTGGGATGATGTCCCCCATACCGCAATCTCCAACCACTGTTCAAGTAAGTATTGGGTACACCATATCTATTTCAATTATGTCAGCAATTGGGTATGAGCCCACGTAGTCCTGGGATGATGTCCCCCATACCGCAATCTCCAACCACTGTTCAAGTAAGTATTGGGTACACCATATCTATTTCAATTATGTCAGCAATTGGGCATGAGCCCACGTAGTCCTGGGATGATGTCCCCCATACCACAATCTCCAACCACTGTTCAAGTAAGTACTGGGTACACCATATCTATTTCAATTATGTCAGCAATTGGGTATGAGCCCACGTAGTCCTGGGATGATGTCTCCCATACCGCAATCTCCAACCACTGTTCAAGTAAGTACTGGGCACATCATATCTATTTCAATTATGTCAGCAATTGGGTATGAGCCCACGTAGTCCTGGGATGATGTCTCCCATACCACAATCTCCAACCACTGTTCAAGTAAGTATTGGGCACATCATATCTATTTCAATTATGTCAGCAATTGGGTATGAGCCCACGTAGTCCTGGGATGATGTCCCCCATACCACAATCTCCAACCACTGTTCAAGTAAGTATTGGGCACATCATATCTATTTCAATTATGTCAGCAATTGGGTATGAGCCCACGTAGTCCTGGGATGATGTCCCCCATACCACAATCTCCAACCACTGTTCAAGTAAGTATTGGGCACATCATATCTATTTCAATTATGTCAGCAATTGGGTATGAGCCCACGTAGTCCTGGGATGATGTCCCCCATACCACAATCTCCAACCACTGTTCAAGTAAGTATTGGGTACACCATATCTATTTCAATTATGTCAGCAATTGGGTATGAGCCCACGTAGTCCTGGGATGATGTCCCCCATACCGCAATCTCCAACCACTGTTCAAGTAAGTACTGGGTACACCATATCTATTTCAAATATGTCAGCAGTTGGGCATGAGCCCACGTAGTCCTGGGATGATGTCTCCCATACCGCAATCTCCAACCACTGTTCAAGTAAGTACTAGGCACATCATATCTATTTCAGTTATGTCAGCAGTTGGGCATGAGCCCACGTAGACCTGGGATGATGTCCCCCATACCGCAATCTCCAACCACTGTTCAAGTAAGTACTGGGTACACCATATCTATTTCAATTATGTCAGCAATTGGGCATGAGCCCACGTAGACCTGGGATGATGTCCCCCATACCGCAATCTCCAACCACTGTTCAAGTAAGTACTGGGCACATCATATCTATTTCAATTATGTCAGCAATTGGGTATGAGCCCACGTAGTCCTGGGATGATGTCCCCCATACCGCAATCTCCAACCACTGTTCAAGTAAGTACTGGGTACACCATATCTATTTCAATTATGTCAGCAATTGGGTATGAGCCCACGTAGTCCTGGGATGATGTCCCCCATACCGCAATCTCCAACCACTGTTCAAGTAAGTACTGGGTACACCATATCTATTTCAATTATGTCAGCAATTGGGTATGAGCCCACGTAGTCCTGGGATGATGTCCCCCATACTGCAATCTCCAACCACTGTTCAAGTAAGTATTGGGTACACCATATCTATTTCAGTTATGTCAGCAATTGGGTATGAGCCCACGTAGTCCTGGGATGATGTCCCCCATACCGCAATCTCCAACCACTGTTCAAGTAAGTACTGGGTACACCATATCTATTTCAATTATGTCAGCAATTGGGTATGAGCCCACGTAGTCCTGGGATGATGTCCCCCATACTGCAATCTCCAACCACTGTTCAAGTAAGTACTGGGTACACCATATCTATTTCAGTTATGTCAGCAATTGGGTATGAGCCCACGTAGTCCTGGGATGATGTCCCCCATACCGCAATCTCCAACCACTGTTCAAGTAAGTACTGGGTACACCATATCTATTTCAGTTATGTCAGCAATTGGGTATGAGCCCACGTAGTCCTGGGATGATGTCCCCCATACTGCAATCTCCAACCACTGTTCAAGTAAGTATTGGGCACATCATATCTATTTCAATTATGTCAGCAATTGGGTATGAGCCCACGTAGTCCTGGGATGATGTCTCCCATACCGCAATCTCCAACCACTGTTCAAGTAAGTATTGGGTACACCATATCTATTTCAATTATGTCAGCAATTGGGTATGAGCCCACGTAGTCCTGGGATGATGTCTCCCATACCACAATCTCCAACCACTGTTCAAGTAAGTACTGGGTACACCATATCTATTTCAGTTATGTCAGCAATTGGGTATGAGCCCACGTAGTCCTGGGATGATGTCCCCCATACCGCAATCTCCAACCACTGTTCAAGTAAGTATTGGGTACACCATATCTATTTCAATTATGTCAGCAATTGGGTATGAGCCCACGTAGTCCTGGGATGATGTCTCCCATACCGCAATCTCCAACCACTGTTCAAGTAAGTATTGGGCACATCATATCTATTTCAATTATGTCAGCAATTGGGTATGAGCCCACGTAGTCCTGGGATGATGTCCCCCATACCACAATCTCCAACCACTGTTCAAGTAAGTACTGGGCACATCATATCTATTTCAATTATGTCAGCAATTGGGTATGAGCCCACGTAGTCCTGGGATGATGTCCCCCATACCACAATCTCCAACCACTGTTCAAGTAAGTACTGGGCACATCATATCTATTTCAATTATGTCAGCAATTGGGTATGAGCCCACGTAGTCCTGGGATGATGTCCCCCATACCACAATCTCCAACCACTGTTCAAGTAAGTACTGGGCACATCATATCTATTTCAATTATGTCAGCAATTGGGTATGAGCCCACGTAGTCCTGGGATGATGTCCCCCATACCACAATCTCCAACCACTGTTCAAGTAAGTACTGGGCACATCATATCTATTTCAATTATGTCAGCAATTGGGTATGAGCCCACGTAGTCCTGGGGTGATGTCCCCCATACCACAATCTCCAACCACTGTTCAAGTAAGTACTGGGCACATCATATCTATTTCAGTTATGTCAGCAATATGTAGATTTTTCAAAAAAGTTTTCAAGATAAATTCAGTGAAACCATTACAGTTTACAATTTTTTGCCTTATTGTTAATGTATGACTCAGTTAAGAAGGATGTATGTTCCTTATTATAGATGTCTGCCAAATCTCCAAATGGAGGGCCACCAGCAGGTTCTCCAGGATCAGCCACTGCCAGTCCTACAAAGTCCAATAACACAAAATCTCCAAATGGAAGCCAACCTACACATATCCAGCCTCAAGTGATGCTAGCTCATCCAGGTATATTCTCTTAACCAGATATATTCTATATATGTGAAGGTCTATTAAGTACTGTGACATGCATAAACAGTATAAGAGCGTCAGGGGAAATCGCCCTTGGTCATATAATTACCTTTGATAAACTGATATGTTATTCTTATTAACAATCTTCGTCTAGGTATGCCTGCCAATATGATGGGGAAAGCAATGATACAACGTCAAGGAAGTCAGCCTCACAATATGGCTCAACAGTCACAGCCTTTCTTCATACAACAACTTGGTAGGTCATTCAGATGCATTAAGGAACTTAGCTACCTGGATTTGAAGAAATACTCATTATCAAGGATTCCAAATAGTGACCTAGCTATCATGATAAAAATGGTATCACCAAAAAAGAAATTTATTTGAGTTTAAGCAATAGTTGTAGATTTAAACTTTTAAAAAGCAATAGATGTAGATTTTGCACTGGTACTCTTAACAGATCTCTGTATCACAAATATATATATTTTATATCCCCCATTTATTTAACCTTGCAGGTACTATGATAGGTGTACAGACCTCTGTGCCACCAGGCTCAATGTCAGCCAATCAGAACAATGGATCAAATGCCATCAGAAGCCAAGCAAGCTCCACTCAGAATCAAATTCTCAGTCCTGGCCAGATCAGACTTTCTAACCCTGCACAGCTGGTGACGCAGCCTAACCAGCCAACAATGATCACTAGCCCCACAGTGTTAAATCAATTACAAGCAATGGCGCAGTTTGGTCAGAATATCCCCATAGCACCACAGCAGTTGATTGGCACCCAGTCCCCAACTATTCTAACCAACGCACCAATGTTTATCCGTGCAGCAGGCCCCATGCAGACTCACCATGCGTGCATGGTCCAAAATATGCCCAATCAGGCCACTAAAGGAGCCAAAGTGGCAGTTGAGCAGGGAGTCAGGCCAACTAATCCAGCCACTGTGGGCAAAGTCACAGGATCTGGTGCCAAATCCACTGGATCCCTCAGCTCCAGTAATAAAAGCATATCTGCGCTGCTGGCCTCTGCTAACAAGGCAGGCAACAACAATAAAGTCACTACAACTACACAGGTTGTCAACTCCCCTCAGGCAGCTATAACTAAACCCCAGACCCCTCCAGCTGGCACCCCTGGGACCAAACCACGTACAACTGCACAGCATATTTTGCCTAAACAAGTGCAGAAGGTACGTGGACGCCAAATGGCCAAACCAAGTGTTGCAACAGCAACTGTAACTGGGACTAAACTAACACAAGCTGTGACTACAAAACCTAGTACAATGTCAAGTAAGACCACAACTACAGCCTCAAAACCACAGAGTGTGAAACCTTCTACAAATGGTTCAAAACCTACTACAGTCGGTTCAAAATCTACAAGTAGTCCAAAACTTAGCACAAGTGGAACAAAATCAACTCCAACTGGTTCAAAACCTACAATGAGTGGTCCAAAACCTTCACCAAGTGGTACAAAACCTACAACAATTGGCACGAAACCATCTACAGGCAGTAAGCCAGTAATGGGAGGATCCAAAATCAGACAAACTAGCCCAAAGGGGTCTACTCAAAGTAAACCTCCGACAAACATTACTTCACCACTGTCTACACCAGTCACTTCAAAAAAGACTATTTCACATATTAAACCTGCAACATCTTCTGATGCATCATCAGACTCTGGTTCAAAACCAGATGGCGCCAGTAGCTCTGAATCATTATCGTCTTCTGACAATAAACAGCATCAGGGAGGAGATAAATCTCAAAGTAAAAAAACATTGATTAATAGTAATAAAGATGTGAAATTAAATGGTAATGATAAGATAAACGATGAAGTAAAAACGAATGGAGATATTTCAGTGAATGGACATTCAGAGTCATCTGGTGATAAAGAAGAGAATATGGAAGTTGATAATGATATAATTCCATCTCCAACAGCCTCACCAACTGGTAAGTAGAAGTTTAATGGAAACACTATACCATATGCAGCCCTTTGATATGAATGTGCTTGTTGGCAATCTTGACCATTGCGTCTAATACACCCATTTTTATATGTTTTCTGGTCTGCTGTTACTTCTACTTACACAATCACAATCAAATTGAATAGAATTGGAAAAAAACATTTTTTTGTCAATAAGGTTAATTAAGAAATGTTCATATAGGAAATGTATTTATTGTCTTTTGAAGTTTTAAAAGATGCAATCAGTTTTTCAATTTGTAACTTGTACTGCTTGCAAATCAGGATTTTTTAAGCTTTGATTATAATCAGAAAAGGAGGTTTATGTTCAGATATGTTGATTTATATGTGAGTTACATCGTCATGAATTAAAAAACATTTGGTGTTATTAGGATTAGTTATAGGATGAGAATCAAAACTATATTCCCTTAATTAAAAATGTTTTGAAAAAGTAATTGAAAAAGTACCTTCCATGCCATAATATTACTATTTGTGTTTCTCTAATTTAGAAGACAAGGTTGTCAGTCTGACGAATGTCTCAACCTCAGGTCCACCTACTGCCATTGTTCAAGGGGAGCGCCAGAAAGCCATAGTCAAACCGCAGGTGCTAACACATGTAATAGAGGGCTTTGTTATACAAGAAGGACCCGATCCTTTTCCAGTGAGTGTGTTGAGTTTTGATGATGTAGTTTGTGTAAAAGTTTGTATACTTGTAATTAGATAATTACCAGTGCTCTATATGTGCAAACTGAAAAGACTTCAGATATGAGTTTATTCATAAGGCAGCTCATTGACAAGCTTGACAAAATCCTAATGTTTTTTTCTGGCTTATATAAGGATCTCTTACAAGAATTTTGTTATGTAAAGTTATATATATTGTGTTTTTAGCCTCCTCAGAAGCCATTCAGTGAGAAGAGCAAATCAGATGGAGGTCCTCCCAGTAAGATAGCCAGGGAGGAACCAGTCCTTTCTGCCAGAGCAACAGGTAACAACTACATACCCCCTTTACTCTCTTATACTGTGCTTCATGCTCCATTAAACAGTTTAAAATTTCCAAGACCAGTACAGTAAAACCTGTGTATAGTGAACACAGTTGGGTTTATTATAATAACATACTCATATAAGGGAGATTCTCACTTAATGCATATTTTACAGGTTCTTGCTGCATAAATTGAGACATTTTATAACCTTCAGTGATACTTATATGTTTTATATTAACTAGAGTTTCAGATAATAACTTCAGTTATAAGTGTCCATCAATTATGATAAAAACAGTAAGATAAAATGCACACATACTAGAATTCCAGCTTTGCTGCAGAAAAACCGCAGAATTTTGGTTTTCAAAATTTTGTCAGAATTTGATTTTTTGCACTTAATTTCTCTAAAAACTAGATTTTTTCCAGACAACCATCTCGTCTCAAATTTGTCACTCCCCTTGACACCTTAGACAGCCATTTGTCATCTGAAACTGGTGTTTTCATGCAATTTGTCATCTGAAACTGGTGTTTTCATGCAATTTGTCATCTGAAACTGGTGTTTTCATGCAGAAAACTAGTATGTGTGAAAATGTTCTGTATTTCCACTTGATTCTAATGGGATTTAACATTATATACTTACTGCTTATCCATATTGCAGCAATATTACATAGGCTCTCAGCCCACCATAGAAATAGGAGTAAGTGTGCGTGATATCACGATGCATGGGATGTGTCCCTTTAAATTTCTTTACACCTTAGATAATTCCACTGGGTCTCACATTTGTATTTGCCTAATTGTTACACACATTTAATAGTATACTGAAAATTAGTTTTTGTGCATTCACCTAACCAACCTGTCATGAATGTGTCATTGTTATCCATTTTTGATTCTATATGTGTGTAGAATGTCTTCCTATTGAATAAGCATGGTGTTTTTTTGTTATGAGCTTAAACAAAATTAAAATGTATTTTGTTATGATAGTGATTGATATTTATTATTCAATATAATCAAGTGTACACTTTTGGTTTGGTTTGTGTCGCTATATGTAGAATCTGTGTTTTATTTGGTTGGTATTATGCCTTACTTTAGTATAGGACCCAATAGATAAGATTGTGTACATTTAAAATGGAGGCATATAGCATTTAGAATCACTTATTAATAGTGAATATAATCAGCAAGGTGAAGTCAATCTCTCTCATTCATCTATTTTACTTCAGAAATCATCTATTATTTTTAAAATATTCATATTCCCTTCAAAGATGTAATGTTTGGGAAGGGTAGGGGGAAACATATTCTGTTTTCCCCCAATATTACGAGATTGAGACTTGCTAATACACCATATTTGCCGATGGTTTAAAAGGGTTTATTTCACTTCAAAGTACAGTAACCCCATATTCATAATAAGTCATAAAAGCTCTTACTGGTATTTAATTTGATTTAATGATGTCATAATGTAATTTTTTTTAAAACCAAGCTGTCCTTTTAGATCGTAGTGATGGCCCTACTTTGAAGTGTGAGTTCTGTGGCCGCGTCATGATGGCAAAGTTGTTTAAGAGGTCGAAGAGGTTCTGCACCACTGCCTGTGCTAAACGCTACAATGTGGGCTGTTCTCGACGCATGGGACTCTTCCAGCCTGATCAAGGTATGACTATCAATGTAGTTGGGTTCTTATCATCTTGTTGAGTTCTCTATAATTCACTAGGTGTTCTTTTCTAACTGTTACTAATCTTATTCTCTCACTTCGATGTTTAAATAGTTCATTTTTGATCTTTCTAGGGTATGTTGACCAGTTCGAAGATCAACAAAATTTTGTTTGTAATTTTTACTGGATTAGGAAATGTCTAGCATTGTTAAAATATAAAAAAATCGGATTAAAAAAACTTATAGCTATTTCGCCCAGATAACTAATCTATAAAGAACAATGCAAATTAATTTTACATGAAATTCCATGGTGATCAAAAATGGACTACTGTATAAGTGGTATTTAATCCGAGTGGTTAATTTTCCGAATGGTCAAATTTCATCATTTTCCTAATTTTAATTTTCCTAATGACAAGAAACCTCCCATTGGATAACATTATAAAGACAATATTTCCGACATTTAATTTTCCGAACCTGGCAAAAATTAGGAAATAGGCAAATTAAATGATTAGGCAAAATTACCACTTATACAGTATTCTGAGACAATATTATAACAGTGAACTATAATATTATATATTAAGATATGCATGGCAAACTGGTAACTTAACTGCCATCAAAAATAGGTTCTAATGATGTAGTGTTGAGAAATAAGAGTTGAACTAGTATGTTATCTTGAATTCAGAAATTAAGCGGCGACGAGGTCGACCCCCAAAGTTATGGGGCCTAAGTCGCCTGACTGGTGAGTGTTTTGGTGGTGTCTTCTCATTCAGTGTGGCTCATCCTCCATATACATCCTAAAATACTTTCAGATTTTAAAATCATAACGACTTATAAATTGCATCTTCAATAGACTCTTATTGTAGAGCCTGATAAAATTAGTATTTGTGCAACCTAAGTTTGAAAATCAATGATCGAACGATATGCATGCTTCTCACATCTTTGCACATTGGTCTTAACTGCGTTCACTGCCACTGATTTGAGACAAGTGAATGAAGATGTGCTCCTCATATATTTTTAAAAGCCTTTAATTTGCTCAATAGCTGAGCATTTTTCCAACTTTAATATACAATGTATAGACATGATGTTTTGTATCAAAATCTGTTGATGGTGCAATTTACATGGAGTTCTGAATTTTATTATTTTTGGTGTATTTTAAGTTCAAAGGAAGACAGATTGAATCTGTACCTGAAACTCTTATTTGGAAAACAAGTTGTCAGGTGTTCATGTACTTGTTTCACATAGTTTTGGGGTTAAATGAGAATGCAAATGCCTGTGTCAGTCCCGAGCTAGTCATTTGTGTAGCACGTGTAGTGGGTTCATGAAAATTATGGTTATAAATCATGTATGAAATGTCATGGTGATGATCAAATTTTATTGGATTCATTCAGAAATATATTAAGTCACAATGTTTGACCCAAGCCATGCTGGGCACATCTGAACATCGACCTTTGACCCTTTATTAAGACTGATAACCTCAAGATTTTATGATCTAAGATGATATGTCCAAACAATCAAACAAATAAACAAATGAGCAGATACATGGATCCCCAAACATTACTCTACAATTCTAATAAATACCTACCATAGTATGTTAACTGTGAAGGGCATTTTGAAGATTATGAGGATTGCAGTTACTATATAGGACACTACAAATTACCTTTTCAAACATGTTTAATTTCTTCATCACCATGATATTTTTGAGATCCTGTTTGTGTACCGTTTTGTCTAATTTTGTTGTACCAAATAGGCCATGCACTTGTCAATTGTATGTTCCCTGTCCCGTATATGTACATGGTTCATCATTGTGTTTTAAAGTCCTGCTTTAGAGTACGTACACAATATACATGTTTGCACCTTGGTTAAGTTATAGCAGAATAGGGAGAAGTTATCTCAAAATTGCATGTTATGTCAAGTTGGTTGGTTTGTAAGGCTTACTTCCTGCGAAAGCTATGTGGATTTTGATATAATATCTTTCCCACAGCGCACTTGGACAGCTGAATAATAGTGACCTTTAAAACATGAATAATGAGATCCGCGACTTACTTTTTGTCTCTAACTGTGTCTTACATCAGTATCATCAATCCGTGCAAGTATTTGAGCGCTGAATTACTTCTTTTTTCGATCAAGACTTGTAAATTGTTCATCGAGTGAATGTTTTTTCGACCCATTTCCAATATGGCAGTTTGCTAGGAGCGAGATACGCAATGAACAAAATGAATTTTGAGAATGAATTAGGTTCGGACAACCTCCAGAGATTTATGAAAAATGTCAGAGTAGAAAACATCATATTGGAATTTGGCAGAAAAAACATTCACTTGACTAACAATTACAAGTCTTGATCGAAAAGGAAGTACTTCAGCGCTCCAATACTTGCACGGAAGGATGATAATGATGTATGACATAGTTAGAAAACAACTGATCGACTTAATTCGTGTTTCAAGTTTCAAAGGTCACTATTATTCAGCTGTCCATTTCTCCATTGGAGTCGCCATAAGTTTCAAAATCTAACATGGCTCTCGAAGTGAGTAAGGTAAGGCCACAGTTAAGTAGCAATATCGACCATTCCCCTGATTCTCTCCTCATGGCAAAGCCTCACAGCTTGATGTCATTGTATTTAAACTGACATAGTCCCACTTGGATGTTCACACATTTCAGGACATGTGTAAATCCTACAGATTTTGTAATATTACCGCAAACATATATGAAGAAATTCACAGGTCTAAAGCCAAATACAACTTATATTTCCATATTTCTGTGTTAGTTTGGGGGCTTTGTATGGTTAGGGTTTAGGAATGTGCACATTAGTAGACCATAAGTATTTTAAATATAAGGCATGAATAGCAGATAAAGATTTTATTCATTTTTAGACTTAGTTCCTGTCTATTTGTTAAATAGGTCACTTATGATTTATTCATTTCTTTTTAAAAGTCTATAATATTTATTAGTACAATTGCCACATTTTGCATGCTATTGGCATTTTGCTGATTTTCACTTAATATATTCAACTGATGTTGTTCTGAGAGACGCAAGAACATTTCAGTTTCAGATCGATAACAACTTTTGGAATCTACCATTGATATTGACTTAATACGAAATTCAAATCTGAACCTTTTTCTAAAAAACGCTCTTGACAAACCAGCTGGCCTTAACAATGTAAGAAAAAATATTTTGGGCCTGAGTTTGATGGAAAAATGTCTTCTTTAGATTACATCATAAATTTAATTATATTAACTTATGTTTAACTTATGCATTCTGTATTTCAGTGAAGCGAGTAAAAAAGCCGAGGGGTTCCAAAAGCCCTATCTCTGGGAAAATTGATGGGAAGACAGACCCAAATCAGAGCAATGTGGACACTGCTAACCTTGAAAAGGTAAAAAATAGAAGATAAAATCATATTTTGAATATTTTGGATGAATGAGAGACTTATTACACTCAGCATATTGAAGAGTTGAGTTTGGTGATATATATATTTTTACTTTCCAAAGCATGCCATCCACCTCTGTTATTGATGTTTATGAATTATTCAGTGCTCAGGAAGATGATTCTTGAATTCCCAATCTTTTCCTGCATTTTCTTGTGAGCTTCTGAATTATGACATGCATTAAATCTGTATGTATGATTTATGGCCAGAAAATGCAAAGGACAACACTAGGAAAACTGTGGAATCAGCCCCAAAACATTGTCATAATATTTAGAATTCATCCTCTCTTAATCAATGATGACTATAGATAATAAAACCCACAAAGCATCCAAAAGAGAATAATGTCAATGCTAAAAAGCACACTTTGAATGAGTATTATGATACTTGAAACTTTATTGAATACTAGTAAAACATGTTGGACTCTGACCTCACTGTATTGCTTCAGTGCACAAAAATGGTATGTTGTAGAAGGCAGTGGATGCAGAAAGAGATGCCAGTAGCAGCAGTGGTGAACAGGAGACTGAATCAACCACATCTGAAACAACAGAGACCAGTGGCATTACAGAGCAAGGACATCAGGTAGGTAGCTCTCACTTCAATGCAGATTTCCTACCGTCATTTCAGAATGACTGTATTAGATTTGGCCTTGAGTCGTTAAGTATTTTGTGTTTGTACTTACTAAAGAATCGGGTACATAATACCTGTCATAAGGGGAATTATAATTGCGCATTTGATAAGCGAAACACAGCAGTTATACACATATTGATGTGTATTGAAAAAATATTTTTGCTGTTATTAAACAAAATTATCTGAATGTTTCTTTATCTTTGTATTTCGTCCCTCCAGGAGGACCACGATGAGAGCTCCAACTCACCTGCAGAATCTGACCCTGCAGTTGATGTTGACATGATGGATGATGAAGACAGACCTCCAGCCGATGCTGAGCCAACACGAGACACAAACAGAGAGAATATGCCACAGCCAACTAGGTGGACGGTAAGAAATATGGTTTGAGTGGTGGTGTTTTGTTCTGTATTTTTTCTGAATTAGTTTTCAGAACTAGTCATCATGTCCATTATTGATTCTAAACATAAGAACAGTAATACAATGTAATACAACAAATGCAGTATTGACAACAAACAAAAATACAATTCAAATACAAATACAAATACAAAAAAGAAGTCTTCTTTTAGTTTTCTGATGCTGCACTAATTGATATTAACTAATAAATGTAAAGTGTCATTGTATATTGTATATTACTTTATTTTACTTTATTGTATTTCTATTGCAGGTCCGTGAAGTTTATGAATTCATCCACTCTCTCCCAGGTTGTGAAACATACGCTGATGAGTTCCGTTCTCAAGAGATAGATGGCCAAGCTCTGCTTTTACTCAAGGAAGACCACCTTATGACAACCATGAACATAAAACTTGGCCCTGCTTTGAAAATATGTGCAAAAATTAATGCTTTGAAAGATGATTGATCTTAGTGTGTAATACAGGGTTTCCATAAAGTCTCTTTACACCTTACATAGACTGCATTGTTAATGTAAAGCGACTTCATGGACACCCTGTATATATGCTGTATAAACATATATGACTGTACAGGGTGTTTTAATGTATAACATTGTCATCCAATTAATGTTCAGTGTCTAGACATCATTTAATATATGTATTAAGATTTACATAGAACAATGGCACAGAATGAAAGATTATACTGAATATTTGAGATATACACAATTTAGTTTTATAACATTATCAAGATACAGGCTCATATTTAAGTCATATTTAAAAGAACAATATCAGGCATTTATTTGAACATGTTCTTTCTGTTTTATTAAGAGGCCATTCGATTGAATCGATAAATTGACAGATATTATGTTGATGGTGTTATGTATTAAAAGGTGCTATGCTAATTTATTTATGAACTGTATTAAGACAAAAGCATTAACCAAACGTATATATTTGCTAGTTGATGTACTAGTTTTATTAAATACACAGTGTCTGTCTATTATATCTTAGTTTATGCATGACGAATTACAAATATGTTATAAATATATTATACAACTTGGTTGTAACTAGAATCCTCATTTGAATCCAAACAATGTGTTCATCAACATCTCAAGAAATATTATCATATAACATATTGAAAAATAAATAGCTATAAATGTAAAAATATGATTTCACTTGAATAAGCTGTGAATCTTAGAATTTTCTAGAATTTACAGGGTGTCCATGAAGATTCTCTACACTTCACTTAGATTTTGTATTGTAATTGAAAAGAGGTTTGATGGACACCCTGTATACATGATAAGGAATGTTATCAATAAGACAGGCTCATAGAATTGAATATAGGATAATGTGTGTACTGGTATTTCTGTGAAACACTTTTCTAAACCATCCAAGCATTGTTTAACCATCAGAACATTCTCTACTTGGAAAATATGACCTCATAGTAAGAACAAGGATCTCTTGTGGTGTACTACCAGAAAATTAATTCTGCTTTATCAAGATTTTTATAGTTTATATTTTAATAACACTAAAATGTGACTTTGAAAATCATTTCATTTGAGAATCAATTGTATTGACCTCGTCCTCATAATGCCTTTTAATGCTGTAATCAATAGCTGCTATTATTTGATTATTTGTTTTATTTTATGTTGTTATATAGACATTTCAAGAAAGATCTATTCTAATACACAATTTGCAATAATATGCTACAGCTTGGAGGAGTAGGAAATCATGATTATACCATATACTTGGTTCATAGTCAAGGAGGATTGACTCCCAGAATGCTTTATGAACACCCTGTATATCAACAGACTTAATTCTTATAACTCTCCTGTGACAAGGATGTTAACTTCAAAAAGCAATTACGAATAGCTCTTAGAAAAAAGAATAGCAATCATGTCACAAATTGTTGTAATTAATCCTTGTTGATATTCACTCAGGAAAGTTCTTTAATAAGTCAAGTAAATATAAAATATAGGAAAACGTTGAAATTCTAACACCTATGACTGTATGAACCACACTATTCTCCGTCATTAAAATGCATTCTGAAAGTATTGATGGCACTGAAGATACAAGTATATAAAAGGTATTATTCAATATTCTTTTAGTTTCAAATTGCATTTATTCATGTAATTTAAATCAAGAAAATATTTACATTATGATGTATTTTCTTATCTTTACAAGTCATTTTTTGAAGACTATGTGCAAAATGAAGGTTTATAGCTGTTGTTAACAACTGAAAGAAAAAACAGTTTCTCCTCTCTTAATATCTACTTGAATGTAGACATTTGTGACAAAGTCAATTGTCTGTACAGTTAAGGCAATAACTTGAGTACATTTAATGTACATAATGTGTATTCTGTATTCTGTAGTTCATGTTTCCTATGCCTGAGCATAGTGTTTGGATATATCATATACTAAGTGAATGTTCACAGCTAGAAGCTATAGTTTTAGTGTTAATTTAACAAATAAAATGCATCCATGCAAATTATATCATCATTTGGTGTGTTTTTATTAGTTATATTTTGTCGCTACGAGTTATGGTTGTGTTGAACTCTGATGTGTCTTTGTTGTTAGTGTTAACATGATCTTTGAGATGGCTCCAAAGATGGGGAGGCGGGGGGGGGGTTGTTCGTGAGGGACAAGGCAGCCATTTGGAGCTTGTTTTGTAAAATGCCCATAAAATCGTGACCATAGACTTAGTTAGTAAGATTTGTTTGCTCACCCTGTACCACCCTGTGCTCACCCTGTACCACCCTGTGCTCACCCTGTACACAACTAAAATTACAGTGAAATTGTAAGTCAACTTTTTTCTTGAAAGTGGGAGTTTGCACTCACACCCCTAAATACATGATATACAGCAAAATACAATAAAAATATGGAAAACTTAGTGTGGTGTCCATCAAGGATGTCCACAAGGACCTTACTAAGATTGGGTAACCTCATTATACAGACACGCATTGTACTGAAAAGCATACCAATGCCCGTTGTACCGAAAATCATTTTATCGAAAAAATGATTTTGAAGTTATAAGATTATAAACATTATCTCCTTTTTTCAGAAAAATCACGCACAAAGCTACCAATTAGTGTACTTGTGAAGTTCCAACTCAATTGTTGTGGAAAATCGTACTTATTGATCCAAGCTAATACCCACGTTCTCAATTTAGCTAGGCACTTGTACAATATTACTATATTAACCTTTCATATGCAAAAGAAAACTTAAAACACTTTTTTTAGCTCCTACTGTTAAGTATTGAAAATATTGAAACTTCTATGTGAATCCAGTGCATCTTCGCACGCTCGGTCTTCACTGCGTTCCGACAGGAGCCGAGTGAACAAAGATGGCCAAGTACTTATGGCACTATTTTTAAATGGTTGTTGCACGTACAAGCTGAATCGAGAAAATTCGAGCTATCGGATGATTATTTGAGAATAAATGGATATGTGTGTATTTTTTTGACTATTGCTTATTTTTCTGTCAATTTCAAAGCAAATTGGGAGAGGGACTAGGGGGTCAAGCAAGGCTTTCAAAAAATTAAGGTAATATTGTTTTATCTTTTCCTATGAAAATACGTTTCCTCCTTTGAAAGTATGTAATGAGTTATTCTAAAAAGCACTCAATCAAATCTCTTTTTCCAAAATTTCTTGGAACGTTGAGATGAAATCACGCACCACATTTCTATAGATTCAATCCGAGTGACATTATATCTGAATCACGGATTAAAACAGTACGTAGCATTACGAACCATAGAAAAGACCTACTAGCCTTAAAATCATTACCATTATCTACCATGCTGAAAAAAATTGAAAATGTAATATTGTATAGTCGAGGAAATTAAAATGTATTTCATTCAACAAAAGTATCCTCAATTGGCTCCATTGACCCTAGATGCCTTCTAGACATGATATTCTATACCATGGTAAAATATTGTTGCTTGATATATCAATTGTTTTTTGTAGATATGTCCATAGGCAAGGTTCTGAAAGTCATGTGAATGACTCGAGAAGAGATCAACCTTCACTCCAGGCTGTTATTCAAAATGTTTATAACTTTCAAAATTCCTCTCCAATGTAAAAAGAATCGATATATTCATTTATTTATTTATTTATTTATTTATTTATAATGTTTCCATTTATCAGAATTCGATGACCTGATCACCTAGAAATTGTCAAACTTTGAAACTTGAGGACAATATGTATATTCGATGCAGTGTCAACTTGATTTTGTTAAATTCATTGCCTTTAGAAGAGTCGTTTGGATCATTCAATATTGATCGTACTCTTTGATGATATACAAAGCCTTCCAACAACTTATTCATGGTTACAACAATTGATTTATCAATTCTTAAAAAACAGATTTTCTGTTAATGACCCCTAGCTATATATTTCTTGGAAAGTGTTGAAGTAATTGGTCTGCTCCAGCACTACAGGGCGTCAAATAAGTCTGTTCTCCCCCCTTAACTTTTTTTAATTCAGAGATAACATAGCTTTAATTTGCTGATCACACACCAAATTTCAGAGTGATTGGTTAAATCCCAAATTTTTTAGAGTATTTTTAGTGATGTCCATATTTCACTTTTTAATAGTCTGCATGTCTCCCCCAGCAGCCTGTATGGCCTCAATTCTACGAGGATATGATCCTGTATAAATCATTCAGAACGTTTAATTTTAGGTGTTATCAACTATTTTTTGATGAAAGATGCCCCTGCTTCAAAGGCTCCCCTGAATGTAATACATTTTACTCTGTAATGATACTGAGAAACATCGAAATCACCCAATGTTGGCATTGTCACTGCAGTATCAACCTTTCACTTTTCATTCACTATACCTGGAAACATTGTAGGAATTTGATTAAGAATATTGCATTATTGATTTTTTGAGGGTGATCAGCATTTTCCATGAGCTTCAAAATGATATATGGGAAAGTATGATAAATTCAAAAATAAAAAAGTTAAGGGGGGGGGGAGAACAGATTTATTTGACACCCTGGTATAGGGCTCCCAAAGAAGGGGCAGTTAGGACGCTTTAGTCACTTTTAAATTTTCAAAATTGTCATTTGTCAATTTAAAAATTTACTTGTCATATTTTGTCAGTTTTATTCCTTTTTAGTCAGGCAAAGAATTTAATGCAACAAATAGTTGTTATGTTCCATTTTTGATTACTGGCTGGAATGAGTCACATTTACTTGCATATATTTACATTCAGAACAAATTTTTTATTTTTGTCACTCTCAAAACACTTGTCAGTCAGATGAATGTTCAAATTGTCAAATGTAAGGATATATTTGTCACAAATTTGGAGTCATAAGAATAAATTCAAGTAGCATGTCTTATCATGTCTTATATACACGTTATCCCCCCTCCATCCAATCCCCCCTCCATCCAATATTAATTCATTTCGATTATTTTTTGTATAACGCATGGAAACTAACTTTAAAAAGTGAGCAATGTCATTAGTGTTGTGATAATAACGTCCCTTAGGTCGTGCAGACCATTGTTGCCCGATTTATAGCAAAAACATTGACTTTTGCACGTTGGTGATGATGCGCCTTTTTTAATAGATCTCATATCTTAGAAGGGTATCAGTTCAAAAAGAATACTAGATGACCTAACATATTTTGCCATGCACTGCGCCTATTCATTTGGCAATTCAGTCGTTAGTTTTCTCATGAAGAAATAAATCTTCCAAATGTGTTGAGTTTTCTTGCAGAAATCGCCTAATCCCCCCTCCATCCATTTTTTACGATCGCCGGGCGTGAAAAAGACCAAATACATAGATCTTATTGATACCTTCAGAGTTATGCTGAAAACATATATAAATATTATTTGAAATCTATATGTAAAATTACATTTAGAAATATGAAATTTAATTTTTTTGAAAATGTGACTTGTAGTTCGGGTTGATTCCCCATAGTCCCCATGTTATAAAATCTCAAAAAGTGAGATATATTTCCTTGTATTAGACAGATAATATTTTATTTTACTGGACATATTTTAATTTGTATAACAATCAGATACATAAGGTTAATATGAAAACTGAACCACTAAAACTGATAAATATTCAAGTTAAAGGGAACCTTTCTCCTATACCCGCAATGCTATCTGAAATAAGGACGTTAAATACAAAGGGAGAAACAGGTGGTTTCCTCATTGTTGACGTTTTACAATTCTTAATTGTTGGGGGGGGGGGGGGGAAATACCCAAGAGTTCAGAGATACCGCCAACTGTCGTCAATGTAGAGATGCCACAAATTTTGATTGGTCGAAAGTAATTTATAATTGTTGATTTCGTCGATAATAAACAAAATACAAGGGTGTTAAAAAAATGCAACCCAAAGAAATCGCTATCTTGGAAAATACTAATCCAATTATGTTATATTTTCAGGAAAGAAAGAAGAGACTGTATCATATGTATAGCCACTGTTGTTAGTTAGTTGTAAAACATGATGTCTTGGACACTTGCTTAAAGACAGTTATACTAGCAAAATACGAAAAACGTGAATGGAAAATCACTATATCTTGGAAAATACTAATTCAATTATGTTCATTTTTTCAGGAAAAGAAAGAAGAAACTGTGTATGAATAGCTCCTGTTGTCAGTAAGTTGTAAAACATGATGCCTTGGACACCTGCTCAAATGACAGTTGTACTAGGAAAATATGAAAACGCAGTCAGAGGTGACTGCCACAGCAATAAACCAAATAACTTTCTAACCATAGTGTTTTGGCACTTCAGATTTGGCACAAATTATCCTCACTTAATGTTTGGTGAATTTGTGGAGTTTCATCAAAATCTCTCCAAGAACTTTACAGTCATGGTCAAAATGTCTTCTTATGTCTCCCTGAACCAAGGCGTTTGACTGCAATTTGAAAGCATTTTGATCATGTCTGTAAAGTCCCTGAAGTGACATACATACACCAATGGGGCACAGTAGGATTTGATGGACTCCATAGGGCTCGATGGGACTCCATGGGGCACGATGGGGCAAAGTCATCAAGGTCTCATGAGACTTCGTGGGATTCGATGGGGCAAGTTGGGATTCGATGGGGCGAGATGGGACTAGATGGGGCAAGTGGGATTTTGCGCAATTGGTGTATACCGGTGTGAAAGAAATGATGGTCCCCCAGGGATTATGGTCCCCTTTCTTAACGGCCCTTACTGGCCCTGATTGCGTATAAGATAATAAGGGAAGGAGTTGTATTTAGGTCGCCATATAGGACCTTCTACCCTTTTACACCTGGCTTAACTTCAAAAATATGTTTTCACTTCGTTGTAATGGTTTTTGGTATAACGCGCATCGGTTTATACTCTTCGGTAAAATGCACGTTGTAATGAGGTTATGAATAAGATAGTTTCTAAATAGCTGAAAAATGAATGAAAACCAGTGCTACCATCTTTTATTCAGATTTTTTCTTGGGCCAGACTTCCATTGACTTCCATATTAAGATCTTTGAAAGTGACTTTATTTCATGAGTTATCAAAAAGTGTTGGTTGAAGGTTGAATCTGTTTAAAACTTTATTGATATATCATGTGATGATCATAGCCGGGATCCACCTCAAAAGGTGCCAAGTGAAAAAAATTGTGAGTTCAGCGCCAATAGTAAACAATACCTATATCCTTCAGCATCTCAAGTGGAGCTTGAGAGTAATTATTTCAACTATATGGACCATATTAGGAAATCTACCTGATTTATGCCCGCTGGGTAATAACGTTGACAATCCTTAGAAAACGAAGCGAATCTATATTTGAAGTAAAGTAAACGACATTTCGTGTTTTATCAACTAAACTTGTGTGATTAAGCTTATTTTTGCCTCGGTTTCGAATTTCGATCATATTCAAATCACAATGTTAAGAGTAATTACACGTCCCGTATGGAAAGAAAGAATATAATCGATGGGGACTAAAGAACCTATAGTGGGCAACTTATAGTTGGCAACATGGGAATGTTAGATGACAGTCGGCTTTGGGATGTCATTATATAGTCGGGGGAATTTGATGAACCGGTAACCATGGAAGCGTTTTTGTTTGTAATTGTTTTATTATGTTTTGCTAATAATACAGACGGCACAAATGTACTAAATGGGGATTTTGAAAGCAAAGATGTATGCGCTGATGGCGCAACACTGGCATCTGCAATCCAGTTTCAATTACATGGCGTAAGCAGACTTAAATGTGCACGGACATGCTTCGAAACACTTGGCTGCACCGCGATGTCGTATTTAAAGAGCTCAAAATCTTGTACTTTATACGAGTTGACGATTTTGGAACCACCTTGCTCTTCCGTCGAGCGACTACTTGTAAAGGTGAGATGAAGTTACGTATCTAAAACAACTGTCCCCTTCATGAAATTTAGTATAACCCCTTCATCATGATAATATATCATGATATAATCTAAGAAGACTTTGAAAATAGTAAAACTGATCAAATTGTAAAAAATGATGCACAAAATAAATAAACTTTTTGTCCACCAACCAAGGAAAATAGGTAGAACTCTTCCATGTGTAATATTCTGAAAGAAGTATATATAATGCAGATTAATTTTGAAGAAATGTCAACTCAGATTTTAAATGTTACATTGATATGAATGCAAATGAAAATGTTTATATCGTGTGGGCGAGTGGGTGGTACTTTTGAACCAATGAATGAAATTCTTTGTAGCATTTTCGGCAATTTTTGGTTGCAGTCCGAAAATCGTGACCAAAGCTGGACATATCTTTCAATGACAACCCGTGATAATTATAATATAATTATTATTCAGTTTACTTTTTCACTGGTTCATCATGAATTATCATTATATCTTAAGTTTGAAAATATGTTTTTATCATTCATTTACTATATTATGACTTTGAAAGTTATATGGGAAATTTTTGATAATTTTTTTCAAATAAGTCAAATTTTCCGCCATTTATCAAATAAAAGATGAACGTTTTTAATTATCAAAAATATTCCACAATACACAGTGCAAAATATATTAACTTAAAAAACCATTGCAAATATTAAAGGCCATACAGTTTGAATAATAAAATATCGTTCCTAATGTGCCACTTAAACATATTAAAGATATTTTGCGCCCAAGTGATATCGTCATTTAGGTTGCAAAAATGTTTTGAAAAAAATCCAATATTTTTCTCAGTTTTTTTAAATATGCTAGATTCTCAAAACAAACCAAATGTTGATTGTATAACTAGGTTAGAAATAAGAATATATTGTGTTTTAAATATCACTGTATATCTAGGTTAGAAATAAGAATAATTTTAAATGTTTTATATATCTCTGTACCATTGGTTTCAATGAGAACTAAAATTTTAAAATGCATTTTTCTCTGGACCACTTTCATGCGAAATTGAGTTTATATAATTCTTGCTTATTTATCAACCAATTTTCTTAATTCTTTGTACAAAAGACATGTGGGGATAAACGCTACGCATTGTTGTGAATTGTTGCTTATTAAAATAATATGTGTGAGCTCTAAAAATTAGTTTTGAATAAATTCACGATTTTTCGACCAAAAAGTCCCTTTGAAATGCAAAAACAAAGTTTCAGATATTAGATAAAATTGGGGTACTGTAAGACTAGCCAAGGTGATTTAAGCTTTATATGGAGCCTTTAATGGTACAATGCATATTCTCAGTAATGTACATGTCATGTCATAAAACAAAAGTGTTATCCAACCCGGATTATGCATCGTAATTCAGCTATCGGCGATTGACTTTTATAAATACATCGGCACTTATCTCAAACAGTCCTCCTCAGGGATACATTGATTTTGAAGGTCTAGGTTGAATGGATTTCAATAATTCATACTGAACGTCTCATCACTTTTCTAATTGTAATTCTGTTTCAGAGATTACAGTGTGTCAATGGAGGACGCGGTGTTAGAAACGAGTGTATTTGTAATGGTGACGTCATTGGTACTACAGGTGCGGGTAGGCCTTCTTTTAGTTGTTTTATCGATGCCGTCGTCTTTGAGGTTCTACTTCTTCAAAACGGCTTAGATATATATTTCCGGGGATAAACTCCAACGATGATGACCAGGGTGTTTCACAATGACCATTCCTATCCACAGCCAATGACAGATTACATGCCCAATTAATCCATACATCATATAATATTTTATTCTGGGCTTATTGGTCAAATATTGGCTTGATGATTGGGGACGTAACTTTTAAAATTATGTAACTTCTGTTGATTAGTCACTTTTGCCATTTGCTTGATTCATGGTAGATTTTCATCAAGTATTAAACGTAAGAAGCAATTTGCTTAATAGAACCCAATGTATACTCTAATTTCATTGATTTTTTGCTTCGTCCAATATAATAATTTGCCAATTACATAAATGTTAGAGATGGTAAAGGAGTCCTTTTTATCATTTCAATTTCAATAAAACTGTATATCTACTAGTGTCTACAGTGCGATGAAACTAAGTGACATCACCTATAATTAGTAGTAGGTGTCATCATGTCGCATCATCAAATTATAGTTCATTTTCCGTGTACATTTATTCAATTTTACAGGGTGGGCCAAAAAACAATACACACGTTTAAAGATGAATATTATATGATATATGCTGAACCAGATGCCATGTATTGTCTATCATTTTGTAAGAAAAAGCTTTGATCATTTCCTAACAATATGACACAATTTGATTAAAAAACGTTTCTTTCCTTGTGGAGTCAGAGGCTAAAATTGACACCAGGGATGTCATGAGTGACCAAAATTTAAAATACGAAAATTCCCAAAGGATAGGTATCGATATGATGAACTGAACTCATCAATGTTAACATTTTTTTGTTTTTTAGTGCAATTGTTTTTGTTCCTTTCTACCAATTCTTGAGAATGAAATAAAAAGTCTTTCCGAACCTTGTTGGAACAAAATAGCATACATTTTCTAAGACCTCTCATAATAGTATAGTTATACACAGGACATTTTGGTTGATTTTACAATAAGTATGCAAAAACTTAAAACAAAACCTCCCAAAATAGATAAAAATTAAGTTTAACCTCTTATTTCATTAACAAGATATCTTTTTAAAATCAACCAAACTTTCCTTTGTACATTTACAATATTGAGAGACCTAAACACGTTGTGTTTATGTCGTTTTGTTCCAATGAGGTTCGGATAGATGTTTCATTTCATTTCGAACATATGATACCAAGAACAAAAGAAGTGTCTCGTGTGTTTTCTAAAACAATATAGAGAAAAGTATATGAATATATTTCAAATTATTATGTTACCATCCAAAAGATGACCATTTATAAATTGACGAGTGAAATGAAACATCTTTCTCGTATAAAGGAAATTTTGGTTGATTTTAAAAAAAGTATCTTGTTAATGAAATAAAAGGTTTATCTTGATTTTTATCTATTTTCGGGGGATTTTGTTTTAATTTTTTGAATACTTTTTTAAAATCAACCAAAAATTCCTTTGTATAACTATAATATTGAGAGGTCTAAAAACATGTTGTATATGCTATTTTGTTCCAACAAGGTTCGGAAAGACATTTTATTTCATTCTCAAGAATTGGTAGAAAGGAGCAAAAACAATTGCACTAAAAAAAACAAAAAATGTTAACAAAAACTGTTATATAAAATATTTCTAAATAATTTTCGCATCAAATTGTTGTCAATCAGTCAACATTACATAAAATACCGTGCTTTTTAACAGAATGTTTTCAATGATTGGTTTAAGAGAAAAACATTGTTGAATTCAGTTCTCCATATCGATACCACTCATTTCCCTCCATTCTCCACAATTTGGAAACCTGCAGTGGATAATGTTCTGGTCGCTCATGATACCCCTGGTGTCAATTTTAGCCTCTAACTCAACAAGAAAACAAAAGTTTTTTTCTATCGGATTGTGTCATATTGTAAGAACATGATTTATCTTTAGAAAGGTCAAAAACGTGTTTTCATAATTTTCATAATTCGCTATCACGGTGGATACTTGCCATTCACATCCTGTTTACTTCTAGAAATTGATTTCAAAATTGGTTTTTGTTTGTAACGCCCTTATCAGTTGTTCATACCTGGGGTACAATGTTATAAGTAAACGTCATGATTAACGCGATAATTCGAAATTACGGTATTATTATAATAATTATGCCGTTAACTAAACAGATTCAACTTAAAACACGTCAAAAATTCAAAGGAGACAAAATGCTTATAGCTATAAAAGTTATTGTCAAAGTATTATTGATTTGACAGTTTTTTGAAAATAGCAGACCTAAAATTTCTACATCTGACGCTTTATGCTTCTATAAGTTTTTATCCTAAAACGCAGCATCAATGAAAATATTAAATTGTTCCAGAATTTGTAATGTAGAAAGGAAAGTTATGCAACCTACATTTTCGTATCAATATATTGACTGTTAAATGAGTGAAGGTGTAATGTATCCTGCTAGAGCATCAAAGAAATGATGAAAATAGCAGTCGTGTCTGGGAATTCAGGAAGAAACGCTAATCACAAGTTCCTGTTGTTATCGATATTGTACTTGTAAAACTATCAATTCTAACTCTTGTAGATTCTGTTACCACAACATCAGATGCAGCTTTGGCGACGTCCACTGAATCCCCGACCACTGACTTAGTTACCACAGCAACGTCCACAGAATCCCTGACCACTGACTCAGCTACAACAGCGACGTGTACTGAATCCCCGACCACTGACCCAGTTACTATAGCGACGTCCACTGGATTCCCGACCACTGACTCAGTAACCACAGCGACGTTTTCTGAATCCCCGACCACTGACTTAGTTACTTCAGCAACGTCCACTGAAATCCCGACCACTGACTCAGTTACCCTAGCGACGTCCACTGAATTCCCGACCACCGACGCAGTTACTACAGCGGCGTCCACTGAATTCCCGACCACTCAGGAAATAACCACTTCGTCTAGTCTGACTCTCCCAGGTATCCTAGCTTTATCGTTTAAATAGTTTGATGACAAAATATTATTTTAGGGTAAATCATTTTTATATTAAGCCTATCCAACCAACAATTTTAATTCATGTCAGCAGTCTGTCTGCAATCTTTAAGAAAAATTCTACCAAATAATAGTGAACCAAAAATAAATGAACATAAAAAAGATAGTCTAGCCGATAAAGCCAATATTTAGATAAAATAAATATTATATACATAAGTTTAAATTAAAATCTTGAAGATACAATTTTTTACAACGATCACTAATGCCTGGGTCACATTTGCTCCGATCCATCGGCCGGCGCCCGGCCGATTGAGTGTTTTGTTCAATATTGTATTCAATTTTGAACAAAATACTCAATCGGCCGGGCGCCTTAGTGAAAATCGGAGCAAATGTGACCAAGGCATAAGCTATTAAGTATTTCTTTTCATCGTAGTTCCAGATGTGCACATCACCTTTGATGCTGATTCTGTAAGTGGAACAACAATCATGTCAACCGTTGGTACAATCATTGGAACTCTCCAGTCTTCTCCTGCTTTCGTATCAGGCAAGGTAGGAAACGCCGTGTCCTTCAGCGGAACTGGCCAGCGGATCGACTTTGGAAATCAGCGTGGTACTTGCCTGGGAGATCTTGGCAATTGTGCCAGTGGACACACAATGGTATTTTGGTTTTATCACGCGACGACCTTATCTGCAACGTATTACTATATATCGACGGGAGGGCAACCTAACGGCGCAGCTAGTCATGGGGTAGCGGTGCGTTTTAATCTGGACAATACCTTGGGTTTCTATCACTCAACACCAGCAAATGAACAATGGGCGACGGAATTGAACAATATTGCTGTCAACACGTGGTATCACGTCAGTGTCACGTGGAGGGCGACTGGCGGGCAGAATGTATACATCAATGGCGTGCTTGAAGCCACAAATACTGCTTCATATTCTAAAACCTCTTCGCCAACTTCATACAACAATTTTAAATTAGGAACACCCAATAATCATAACGGAAAATATGGCAAGGGAATGCTGGATGAATTCCGTTTCTACGACGCAGAATTAAGTTCTTCTGAAATAGCCGCGATTTATTCAGTCGACAACATTTAATTTAATTGAATTGAATCATTATTTGTATTTGTGTTTTGTTATATAATCCAAAGTATAACTTTTTGACTGAAAGATAGAAGTAGAATAGTGCTCTCCAAGATATTGTAATTTTGATCAGCAATCGAATTGTTTAGATTTTCTGTTTATTTGGGGTTGTGATTCAGACCTACAAAAGACAAAAATGGGCAAAACATGAAACTTCAAACTAAGTGACCGTGCGCAACTGGAAACTGGAAATTGCGCACGATGAGGAGATGGCCTACAAATCCAATATCTATTGGTATAATCCAAAACGATAATATCATTATTTTTTGTGCTTAAGTTGATGATAACATATTGTTTAAATGTAAAAAGAAGAATGTGTCTAACAATACTCCTAGTCAAAAATAAAACAGTCCAACATGGTTCGCGATATACTACATGTACGTGATCCTTTTGATTACCTGTCACTCGGTCTGATTGCGGGATGAGGTCAGAAGTTATGGATCACATGAGCAAGTCCATAAACTTCATAAGATATTGTAAATCGTTCAAAATACTTCAAATCCATTCGCATACAGTTTCAGCCTGTTTGGCAATACTTTTCAAGAATGTAGTGACATCTAGTTTAATGTAATCACTCGTTTGCACTGCGTCAAAAGCAATTAAATCTCCATGGGATTTATAAACTATTTAGCGATTATTAAGAAAAATAATTCAACAATCACCGTAAATAGTTGACCTTCGTTTAGATAGATATCACTAAATACCAACTAGGTATTTAAGTCATATACCGTTTTTCAAATAACCCATGAATAGTGTTGGTTATTTATGATGTATTTATTTACTGCTTGGAATGTATTTGTAGTTTATTAGCGTGTATTTATCATGTCATGTAAATACACAGGGGTATCCATTTGGGTATTAATGCCATCTGACCCGAGTTACGTCATCCATCTTATTTGATACCAATGAGTATTTATGGTATTTATAACGTAATGTTGATACTCTGATTGGATTTATTGAGTATCAATGGTCATTTAGCCCCAGTTTCGTCACGCTATTGGATCAATGATATAAATACCTGAACGCATTTGCGCTAGATTATGAGGTATTTTCAAATTATTAGTCCGATCATCACTTTGGCTTAGATTGCTTATTTAAGGGTACTAATAGCATAAAAACAGGATTTCTTAATGGATGGGGGGGGCGCTGAGGTATATACTCTGTCCTGGTTATAATATTGAAGCATATTAATGCGATATGACCTAGCTTCACTTTCATAAATGTGGCAAAAATGTACAATTTATTTTTAATAGCTTTATTAATAATCTATATCATGATTTTACATTAATTAAGCTTTAATTGACATATAGGCCGGACATATAATCAGGCATTTACAGTCCATATTATGTTGTATATGAATGATGTAAAATTATACTATGAATCTACAGATTCACTGAATCCAAACCTCTTCATTATATCGTTAACTACAGGGTGACTAAAAGTAGGAGCAACCCGTAACACAGTTAATAAATAAATAAAACAATAAATACTATTGCTTAACGTTAATATTTTACCCATAATGAAGCTAAGGTAATCAAATTCCCTGAGTTTCATGTCTCTCATTCAAACGGTCCGTTCTCCTCTACTTGGCCACACCAGAGTATTTCGTTTAACAGTTCTTTGATCTATCAGAGGGTCTCTCATGACTGCATGGACGTAATCTCCAAGTTTACGGTCCTGAATCCTTTTATCTAGGATCTTGATTAAAGCCTTCTGTTCTCCATCGTGGAGTTCTCAAGTTGACCGGCTTTGTCTCACTTTCGAACTCCTCGTCAGACACTATTTCGGTTGTTCCTCCAATACTCCACATATGTCTCATTTACTGACCATCTTCCCTCTATAGTTAAGTCTAAAACAATAAAATGCATACGTTACATGAGCATCGGCAAAAATGAAGCTACTACCACCCCTGTAATGAAATGGGTGGTTAATAGTTATATAAAATGCTTGAACTAAGGGGAAAAGCTTGCATAGCAATAACGTTACAATAAAATGTAGTCACAGGATTGTAAATATTTATTGACACAGGTGTGCACCTACTTGTTGCCATAGAATTGTACGTACTTAATGCCACATAATTACCACAAGATTGTACCTTACCTTTAAGCTTGCATAGCAATAACGTTACAATAAAATGTAGTCACAGGACTGTACATTCTTATTGACCTACTTATTAATTGCCGTAGAATTGTACCTTCTTATTGCCACAAGATTGTACCTACTTATTGCCACAGGTTTGTACCTACTTATTACCACAGGTTTGTACCTACTTATTGCCACAGGGTTGTACCTACTTACGGCCACATAATATTTACCTACTTCCTGCCACAGGATTGTACCTACTTACTGCCTCATGGCTGTACCTACTTACAGTCATAAGTGTACCTTCTAATTGCCACAGGAGTGTACCTACGTATAGCTACAGGATTGTACCTACTTATTGCCATAGGATTGTACCTACGTAAAGTCACAGGATTGTACCTACGAATAGCCACAAGATTGTACCTACGTATAGCCACAGCATTGTACCTACGTATAGCCACAGGATTGTACCTACGTATAGCCACAGGATTGTACCTACGAATAGCCACAGGATTGTACCTACGTATAGCCAAAGGATTGTACCTACGTCTGGCCACAGGATTGTACCTACGTATAGCCACAGGAGTGTACCTACGTATAGACACAGCATTGTACCTACGTATAGCCACAGGATTGTACCTACGTATAGCCACAGGATTGTACCTACTTATTGCCACAGAATTGTACCTACGTATAGCCACAGGATTGTACCTACGTATAGCCACAGGATTGAACCTACGTATAGCCACAGGATTGTACCTACGTATAGTCACAGGATTGTACCTACGAATAGCCACAAGATTGTACCTACGTATAGCCACAGGATTGTACCTACGTATAGCCACATGATTGTACCTACTTATTGCCACAGGATTGTACCTACGTATAGCCACAGAATTGTACCTACGTATAGCCACAGGATTGTGACTACGAATAGCCACAGGATTGTACCTACGTATAGCCACAGGAATTGTACCTATGTATAGCCACAGGATTGTACCTACGTATAGCCACAGGATTGTACCTACTTATTGCCACAGGTTTGTACCAACTTACTGCCACAACATTGTATCTACTTACTGCCAGGGGATTGTTCCTACTTACTGCCACAGGTTTGTACCTTCTTATTGCTTCTTCTCCTTCTTATTACCTTCTTAGATTTTATCTACGTACTGTCTACTTACTGGTTTGTACCTTCTTATTGTCATAGGTTTGTACCTCCTTATTGCCACAAGATTATACCTACTTGCTGCCGTAGGTTTGTACCTTCTAATTGCCACAAGATTGTACCTACTTATTGCCACAGGATTGTACCTACGTATTGCCACGGGATCGTACCAGCAAACTTAATACATGAATAAAACTAAACTAAATACAAATGAAGCATCAAACTGCAATCGACTTTTTGTAGACGGTTTATTTATAATGTCCAGATTTATAAAATGGTAATACTTACTGTTTACGGAGAAGATGAAGATAAATTCCATGTATACATCATTCCTCAAATATTTCATAGCATCGGATTTCGAAGCACGAATGGTGTGGTTATAAAGTGGTAATGTTAAATGTTTGATATTATGTGTATGACCGTTTTCGGAACTGAAAAACAAGACAAAACGTCTCCCCATCTTAACTGAAACTATTTCAAATCTTCATATGACTGTATCATACATTAGCATTGTGACCTACTTAGACATCCGACTGACGCTTGTAATCTGATACTGCTACCTACTGATACGCTTGTACTTTATTAATGGTTATTTACCGAAATATATCATAAATAACCAATGGGGTATTAAAAGGATTTAAGTGAATTCCCTAAATCAGATAAATACCACGAGGTATTGTTGCATGGTTGAAATAAGCAGTGAATAACCCAACTCATCGATGATATTTTGATAAATCGGGTAAATACGCATAAATAACCGAATAGATATAAACGTATAAATACAAACGTGTCCATTAATGTTCATTAAAGCGATTTTCGGGTTTAATAACCAACTAACGGTTTGCGGGATTTAGTGGTATTTACTTTATTTCACACAGTGTTGTCTATAGTTTGCTGATCAGCTCTGGTGGCAATCTCAAAGTCTCTGCACGTGGGTATAACTTGATGTCAATACCTTTATGTGGTGTAACCCTCATTACTTCACCATTCAATGTGTCATCTTCTACCAGTCTTAGGAACCCCCTAGCAACCGTGGAGGGTCTACAAGGAATTACGAAATCAGTATACTGTTCAAAACAAGGGTTGGTTTCTTCTGAATTAGTCATTGCAATACTTGAATTCTTAAAATCAAAGTACAAAACGACAACGTTGCATTCAGTATTGATATGTAGTCTCTGTCTCCCTGCCTTTGACGAGATACAAAATACAAATCCCACACTATCGTAAATATGAGACAGTGGTAAGGACATTCAAATAATATGAGGCTTTGTAAGCATACTAACTCTAAAATATCTGCAGCAGAAATCATGGCTCGTGAGACGGCATTTAATTCACCATCATTGTCGAAATATTTGAGTATATTGGTATATGTGAAACTTGGACATAATACATTACACCTGACTTGTTGTTCAGAAAATCTGGCATCGGTCTGAAAGGAAAATACAGGTAAAACGAAAAATAGAGATCAACATTTAAGACAACACCGCGGCGTCCAAAATGTTCGCGAATAATTATAAAGCTAATGGAAACTATGTTGATGTGACAGGCCTTAAATGCAAGTCCATTCATACAGTCTTCAATCCGCCCATCTCGTCTTCATTCTGTCTTTAGTTTCGTTCAAGTATCGCTATTCAAGTTCAGTTCACCTTGTGGCGACAATGTGTCCACGCAGTTCATACAGTCAATATGTTAAATTAAAGCAGAAAGACAGAGAAGAGAAAGGCTTAATTGATATTTATTCGTTTCATAGATTGTGACATGACAATATTCAGGGAAATCTGATTTTACCCCTTTTACACCCCATTCAAGTTTGTACCACGCCGCCACTATAACTATTAAAACTACTCATCGATATGAGGCCAAATCGAGTAAAATATTGATGAAAATGCATCTTACCCCTATCGCCCGAGAGAATCCCACGACGCCATGTTTGGTGGCAGTGTACACTGGTATGGTGAATAATGGTATCAGACCTGCAATTTCAATGATCAATAATTCTCATATATATATATTCTTCGATTTGTGCAATTACTGCATTGAGCATCATACCATCTTTCGGGTTCCTGCTTTCGTATACCAATTGAAAGCGTATGGCTATGATTTCTGTAAAATAATTCAAAATTCTTACGACTCTTCAACTTATGCCAAACGAAATGAGGTGCTGAAAGGTCATTTTGGGAACAGGCGATACTGGAAATTAATATTTTATAATATTATTACTACCACGACAGTGTTATAGATATTTGACCAATAGTACAACAAGCACATGGCGAGTGCTAAGCCGAGCATAGAGTCAAACTATAGTGAATGGTATATTGTGCCCCCAGGTTTGTGCCTCAATCAATTTTATATATGGCGAAAGGGAGACAAATAATTTACTGTCTCTCGGTATTTAAAAAAATCAAAACTCGCGAAATTAATTGGGAGTACAGTACTTTGATTGGTCAGTGATAACAAAAGCCATGTGATTATCTGTTCTGATTCATGGTCCTGAACGACTATAGGCTATATGTGGTGGTCAATAAGGATAATTAACTGGTATTGAAATACGTCGAGAACTATTGTCAAATGAGTGGCCTTTGACCCCCCTTGATATCTCGTTGATAACTCTCACAAATGTTTTCTCATACATATGCTTTCAATCAAAAAAAGAAAAGAAAATGCAGATGGTACGCACAATACATAAGTGTTACTCCCCGAGGGACCGATGGGGGCCAAGGGGAGAAATAAATATTTCGCTGAGGGATATAACCTATATCCAAAACCGACCGTACATAACTGTTCTATCTCATACTAGAGTGATTTGGGGTAGATATAACATTTCCACCTTTTTCAAATGACATGATAGGCCTATAGTAAAAGTACAATTTAAATTTAACATTTTCGAAATATTCCTTTAGTTCAATACTATGAAATTGTAACAGTTAAACTTTTTCTTAAATTTTAGATATTTAGAATTTAAAACTTTTAACTCTTTTAAACTTTCAAAAAATCCCCGGGAGCGGGATGGATATATTATATCTGGCGGCATTTGGCCTGGAGCGGGGCATATACAATATATCTTGCCCATTCCTCAGATATGATATATAATCTCCAAACCCACTCAAGTATGAGATACATACATGTACACACTGTATATAACGTACCTGTCATTGAAGCTATGTTGATTATGACCCCTCCATTTCCGCCGTTGTCCTTCCTCATATAGTCCAACCCAAGATAGGTCCCTCTAATAATGGCCGACTGCCAAAATTAATGGTCAAGTATGTATTATCTAATGCCTGGGTCACATTTGCTCCGATCTATCGGCCGGTGCCCGGCCGATTGAGTGTTTTGCTCAATACTGTATAATTCAATTTTGAACAAAATACTCAATCGGCCGGGCGCCGTAGTGAAAATCGGAGCAAATGTGACCAAGGCATTAATAATGTTTATCAAGTTTCAAAAGTGATACTAGAATCTAGATGGTTTCGAAAGTGACATTGTGTTGTTTCGATTTTTTCAAATTCATTACTTCTGCAATACCCTTTTTATTTATGTACATCTTCGCCCTCGTTTTATGGTCTTAATGTATTGCGCCATTCGTATTATAGAAAACACAAACGGCCCGACCAGTCAAACTAATGAAAAAATAAGCTTAGCTTTAAAACAAATTGCAATAGATTTCAAATTACGTTAGTTGTTTACATTGATTAACCTTGAAATACATACTAAAAATCTACCAAAATCGAAGTAGTGGAACAATTTTAAAGATTGAATCAAAGATACCCCCTTCCCCACCCCTTCAATTTATGAGTGTATAACTAAAAACAATTGAGGTCTTATTTTTACATAATTCAGCTTGACCACGATTGGATATTGTTTTTCTTAAATAATAAAATTGTTTTAACAAAGAAAAAGTTATCTGGTCTTCTTTTTAACCCTTACAAACCCATAAAAACAGAAAAATTATCTCAAATTACACATATACTAATTGGAATGTGTGTTTTATATTAATGGAACCTTCTGTCCTATGATTTATAAAGATGGCCCAACATTCACTTATTATTCCTATGTAATATTGAAATCATAGGTTTATTGAATTTTGAGAAATAGTTTTTTTAATGTCGTATGCCAAAGTGCTATTGTATAAATGTACTTTAAGGTTTGAGTTTTTCCGAGGCTGAGTTTACCCGGGTTGAGTTGACATGTCGCCAACCTGATGAATGGCACAGAGGTGACAAATACTCAATCAAGTAGTTTTAAATATAAGTTGACATGTGAAAAGTACAAATTTCAAATAAGACCGTTGTACCCCAATTTCTTTATTGAATGTTTTTTCTAAACATCTATCAAAGGCAATGCATAAAGTTTTTCTTCATTCCTTAAAACTAATCATTTAATGCATGAGAGGCAGTTTGGCTTTCAAGAAAAACATTCAACAAATATGGCTATTTTTACTTTTTCCGAACAAATACGATTTGCTTTAGATAATAATAAACATGTACTTGGCTTATATTTAGACCTTTCTAAGGCATTTGATGCAAGTGGTCATACTAAACTAGTATAAATGCTAGGTTTTCGCGGTGTTGCTAATGATTGGTTCAGAAGTTATTTGAAAAATTGTCCCTTGAAAACTTTTATTGATGGTACCTATTCAGACAAGAATGAAACCTTAACTTTTGGAGTCCCTCAAGTCTCTGTCTTGGGACCAGTATTATTTATACTATACACAAACGATCTTTTTAAAGTATCAGATATTTTCAAAGTAGTTATTTTTGCTGATGATATCAATATATTCCTCGGAGATGATAACTTAGAAAATTTATTTAAAATTGTAAATAATGAAATGATTAATACATCTAACTGGTCCAAGAACAATAATTTTTCACTCAACATTGATAAAACTAACTAAATGATCTTTACCAAATCAAAAGCTAAACTCAATGATCCACAATACCAGTTAATGATTGATGAAAATAGTATTGAACGTGTCGAAAAAAACAAATTTTCTTGGAGACAATAAACTCAATTGGAATGAACATATATCTTATATTATTTCAAAAATATCAAAAACACTAGGTATACTTTATAAAGTACGTTACAAATTAAATTTGACAGCTTTGCTAGATATCTATTACTCTCTTATATATTCTCACATTTCATGCAATATTATATGGGGAAATTATTAGAAAAAATGATGCAATTCAAAAGAAATTCGTTAATTATAAATTATCTTTAAAAGATATATATCATGCAAGTTTACCATTATTCAAGCAACTACATCTTATCCATATTTATTATAAATTGTATGTCCTAATGCTCAACTCATATAAATTGTACACCTTTATGATTTTTTCCAATTTTTGATAATGCACTGATATACACCCTATGGGTATCTGTGTGTAAATGTAACACTTGATAATAATTATATTACATGAATGAAATAAAAATAAATGAATAAAAAAATTCTCATTCACTCTTAATACCAAAGTTAAAGAGATACACAGATTGGGATACCTTATTACAATTAAGAAATTGTAAAATTACTTTCAAAATATTCCATACATTTGAAAAATAATTTTCCCCTTGGGAGGGGGGGGGGGTCTATTTTTCAAGGTGAGGGGGTACCAGAAATGATTTTTTACATGTTCCACTAAATTTGGTAGATTTTAGTATGTCATTTCATATATGAATTGAAAACTTTTGGGTCAAATGTTACTTTGACTGGACTACAGTCAAGTACTTGAAGATCTATATCCCCTATTATAACCACCCTGCCGGGCCAGTTCTAGGGGCTTTAGTGCTAGGTTAGAAGGCATTCATTTTACTTTATCGACCTGAGCAATATGTGCCGTCATAGTGGCGGTCCATAATGGCAGTCAATGATGCAATTAATGACCGTCAATTTCCCCCGGGAAATTAGATAATAATAATAATACTAATAATAACGTCATTTCTGCGGGCAATATAGTGAAATATTGGACCTTGGTCCGATGTTTCACTATATTGCCCTTCGAAATGACGTTATTGTACTATTTTTCAAAACCATAAGATGTTCCTATAGTATTTAAATAAAATAAAGCTATGCTTTGGTCTCTACATTTGAAGTACCATTTGAATTACATTTTGAAAATATATAATTAATTCCTAGAGCTCAATATCATATTTACAAAAAACATGAGTATTCTATCATTTGTGAGAATCTTAAGCATCAGATTTTGGTACAAAAAGCAGCCCTGTAATCGAAAAGAGCTACTGAGCGTTAATGGCCTAAGAAATGTGTGATTTTAGTTTTTCCTCTCTCATCCATTTAAAGTAAAATATAAAATTAAAGACAAAATATTTGAATAAAGTGATATAAGACAACTCTTCAACTACACGCAAACTTACTAGATTCACGGAAATTTGTTTTTCCCAGTTGACCTCATCGCAGATTCCAGCGTTGTTCGCCACAATATCCAATCGTCCAAATGTGCATTTTGTGAATTCGAATGTATCTGAAATACACACCGAAATAAATTATTTCAAAACTTCACAAGTCAATTTTTTTAGTAACTTTTTTACTACATGATAATTGAAATAAATGCACAATGAACTGATTTTTGAAGTTAAAAATGATGACCGAGTCCTAGAATTTACAGAGTGAATTGACAGCAGACAAGGAATTTGATATAAGATGGTGATATTCTTGTTAGTTCCAAACTAAAAATCGATGTACATTTTCGGTTTAAAACTAAGACTTGTGATAATTTCATGCATTTGTAGTCTCCCCCTCTAGAACGCATTACCTTTTAGAGATTGTCTATTAGTGACATCACATTGTTTAAAGACAACTGATTTTCCATACATTTCATTCAATTGTTGTTGAGAGTCTTGCGTCAGGTTCAAGTCAACGAGACAAACCTAGAAGGTAGGGGAATGGCGTAAGAATTTAACAATTGAGTATTGTAAAACAGGTTGTAAACGCACAAGATGATGCGTCATGTGCATGATTGGTCGATAGGCGAATATTAGAATCAAATTACAAGTAATCAAAAATGCACATTCATCAGATGAAAAATCGAAATATACCTTCGCTCCACACTTAAGTAAGATCTCAGCGAATGCTTTCCCCAGTCCACCACATCCACCCGTTATTAGAGCAACCTGTCCAGCAATCTTCATCGCGAAATCTAGCGTAATGGAGCAAATGGGAGTATTTTAGACGCGTCAACACCTTCAAAATATATATGAAGTCCGATTGTAGCACAGGGCACGCATTATGAAGAGACCAGTTACAATCGTATTTTCTTCGATACGAAATATCTGAGTTTAAATTAGGTTCTCTTGGTATACACTCCCCTCCATAAGTTTGGCAACCTTTTTTCCCCATTGAACTACGTGTTAAAGCCTCTTTACGTTTGAATTTTTATTTACTTAACCGGCGATAAAATAACTTATAATATTGATGGAAACGTAACTTGACTTTATTTCCAATACCTCCCATTTTTTAAAAATTTTTTTCCTCAATTACAATAGGTCGAAAATTGATGATAAATTTGATGAATTTTTGAAAATCGTCATTCCCATGTAATCCAATGTGATAATTTCATGCAATCCAATCCGAACAATCCAATCCGAACGCCTTGAAATTATTCCTCGACGTTGCTTGTGGCTATCATCAAGTTTTCTGATGGCTGTTTGTTCTTTGACCTTACCGCTGGATACAATCAAATTTTAGGAAGATAATGATAACGATTTTTCGAATTTATTCATGAATGCGATCAATTCTTGATGGTTGTTTTATAAGCAACTGAGCTATATCTAACTACGGGAAATAGAATTTTAGTTTAGCCGGAAGTGTATTGAATGGTTATAATAAAAATTATTAGGGGACATATGTAGGTATGTTATGTAAGGTCAAATATCGCTGCGCTATAGTGTGCTACCAACTCCTTTATTAGACGTCCTAGAGATTTCATACCATGGACTATTAGCCCTTGCACTGATTTTTGCAATATCTAAAACTTGGTGCAGAGCCGATTTTGACCCACTGTGCAAATGGAAGGACTTCTCACCCAACCATTACAATATGTTAATGCATGTTATATCATTGCAAAGAGGAGAGACGTGTCTTTATGGTACATTGAATGAAATTGATGTAGTCATCACTAGTTTTGTGATTTTACGAGATAACTACTTGTTGCGTTTTTTTGATACGCCCTGTACAATAACAAAAGAAAAAGAATACAAAAGCCCGTTTATGCAAAACATCAATAGACCAAATGATGCTCCAGGCAAATTCAGAGTTCATAATATTACCAAAGAGTTGTTAAACAAAATTGATGAGAAATCATTTCATGCTACTTAGTGCTTAGTGATTGTTAAAATAAGATTGTGATTACTATGTTTACCATGCATGTACATGAATGTTTTATTTGTTATAATTGCTTTATTGGACTTATATCTCGATGTACCTTAAATGTGTTCAAGAGAACAATAAAGATGTTTGATTTGGGCCCAACCATTTTGAAGGTCCTTAACCATTTCCCATTGGTTAACATGAGAATGTCAAAAAATTCATCAAATTTATCATCAATTTTCGACCTTTTGTAATTGAGGAAAAAAATTAAGAAAATTTGGAGGTATTGGAAATAATGTCAAGTTACGTTTCCATTAATATTTTAAGTATTTCCGTCGCTTGTTAAGTAAATAAAAATTCAAACGTAAAGAAACTTAACTTTTACACGTACATGTAGTTCAATGGGGGAGCTAAGGTTGCCAAACTTATGGAGGGGAGTGTATGCATCCTTTAGTAGCAAATTGATTGAATATGAATATGTTTTAGAGTTATTTATTCTATCCAACTCAAAAATACACACAAAAAATCGTTGACCTACTGTGTAATCACCATGTATTACCATGACGGTTGAACGTAGTCTTTGCAAATTGATGCCCGGGAATAACATGAAATAAGCGAAAAACTATCGAGTTAGGAATTCAAAACTACATAAAATTTAGTAATTTGTTTATTTTCCTCGTCAGTGCATGGTCTACATTGCCTACCAACTTTGGCAAGGGGGGGGGGGATTTCCCAAAGATGACCTATCATATTGGAACGTTCGAAAACAAATTTTATAAACAGGTCTCATTTGCCATTGAACTGAATCTCCCAATGTTCGCTGTAGTTTTATGAGTATTCTCTTCAAGTTTGGATCGAGTAACTTCAATAGTATTACCGTAGGTTTAAAATGATGATGTTGAACTGATGTTAACGCCATTTCCACGATATGTTCACGTGATCGCATCCTACAATTAGATTGGAGACGATGCGGGAGATGACGTAATGGGGAATCCCCGAATACGATAGAATATGAAAGAATTATGGGAGCTACTCACATCTTCTGCAACTTTGATGTATATAAATATAACCTACATACAATCATTAAAAGTCAATTAAGCATTGGAAACCACCTAATATGTTCTACTTAACCGATAATAATGTATTTTGAATTTGCGGTAACGTAAATCATTGATAGACGGTTACGCGAACCTCGTTCATATATGAAACCCCGATTCATTTCATATCGTTTGTGATCCAAAATTGAAATATTACTAGATATTGTTCAACCTAATTGAAAAATAAATATAGGTAATTCAATATTCCATTTGTTACCCGTTATTACAATAACATGGAGATATGTGCACATGCACGTAACCGTCCGCTAAAGCTAATGTACAACTAATACAATACGTTACCGTCCATAACAAAATCATGTAATTCATACGTAGTCGTCTAACGACCTTGCGATTGAAACTTTATTATTAACAACATCACCCTGCTATAGCATGACGGTTACACCACCTCTGAAAAATGGCCGCGATGGAACAGAAAACTAAGGTTAATGCATTATTTTCTACTACTGTGTATCAATGAAAGGATGAACGATTTATGTAAGCATCGCATTCGGTGATACATTTAGTAATGTATATTTTGAACGTAGTCTTTGCAAATTGATGCCTGGGGATAACATGAAATAAGCGAAAAACTGTTGAGTTTGAAATTAATAACTAATACAATACGTTACCGTCCATAGAATTCATACGTAGTCGTCTAACAATATTGCGTTTAAACCTTATCTGTGAATCTTGTCTACAAGCGAGAAATAGGACATGCTGTCTTTCCCATCCGCCATTTTTTGTTATTGTTACCGCAAAATTTTGCAAATCGCCTTGCCGTAACCGTCATGCTATAACACCGTAAATATGCACCACATTCCTGGTCTGGGTTTGTCATTTTATGGGTTGTTTATACACAGTTTATGTACAGTTAGTATTTTGAGTGGCTCTGAGGCACATATACTGAGAAAACACGAGAATGAACTAAAAATTGGATATCTCAGTCTGTAGGTTTACAGCTTATATTCTGCTTCTTGTAGACCACACGGCTTATTAATGACAGTATACCCGGGCCTCAGTTTATAACCATCCATATATACGTCACCAAATGGAACTAGTTTAAAAGGAAATCTTACCTGTGAATCTTGCCTACATGCGAGAAAGAGGACATGCTGTCTTTCCCATCCGTTATCGTTACCGCAAAATCTTGCAAATCGCCTTGACGTAACCGTCATGGTAATGCATAGTGGTAATAGTTTGCACGCTAGAAACGATCATTAGTTCTAGTAGATTCACGGTGTTATAGCATGACAGATACGACAAGGCAATTGGCCAAATTATGCGGTAACGATAACAAAAAATGGCGGACGGGAAAGACAGCATGTCCTCTTTTTCGCCTGTAGGCAAGATTCACAGATAAGCTTTCCTTTTCAACTAGTTCCATTCGGTGATGCATATGTGAATGGTTTTAAAGATTGAGTTAAATCTGTCGTGTGGTCTACAAGAAGCAGAATATAAGCTGTAAACCTACCCAGCTGAGATTTCGAAGTTCATAATTTTTAGTCCTTTTTCGTGTTTTCTCAGTATATGTGCCTCAGAGCCACTCAAAATACTAACTGTACGTAAACTGTGCATAAACAAGCCATAAAATGACAAATGCAGAACAGAAATGTGGTAAATATTGTAGATAATAAGGTTTCAATCGCAAGGTCGTTAGACAGATACGTATGTATTGCATGCTTTTTTATGGACAGCAACGCATTGTATTAGTTTTACATTAGATGTTAGCGGACGGTTACATGCAAGTTCCTGTCAAGTCAAGGTCCCTAGATGGATAGCTCTCTATGTGTGAACTGCCTATATTTGTTTTCAGGACTCGCAAGAGACGCTCTTGCTTGAGCCTCTATAGGGCAAGGAAAAAATAGCGAAAGCCAATGAAAGTGAAAATGATTGTAATGAAGAGGCAAAGGAAGAAATTAGTAACAACGAACAGGCGACGGAAGAAAACAACTCCAAATTAATTGATGATGTCATAAGTGACATTAGACATTACCATTATTACAAATCATATTCAGCTGTTTATGTCACCATCTTCATAATAGTACAATAACGTCATTTCTGCGGGCAATATGAAATATTGGACCAAGGGCCGCAGGCCCAAGGTCCAATATTTCACTATTTTGCCCGCAGAAATGACGTTATTACCATTATTACCACCGTTAATGCCCAGGGCTGAAATAGCAAATTTGAAATAGAAAATCTTACGCACTGAACGATATCACTTTTCCCGGGAAACATAGCCGGGCGAATAATATCATTATTGCCCGACTAAAGTCATTAACGCCCGACACAATATTGCTCACGTCAATATAGCAATTTAAATGCCTTCTCAACTAGTACTAAAACCCCTAGAACAGGCCCTGCAAGGTGGTAATAATACGATTTCATCTATTATAGCTTACAAAACTCAAATCCGGTTGAAAAACATTTCAATTTTGGATCACAAGCGATATGAAATGATTCGGTTTTACATATATGAACGAGGTTCGCGTAACTGTCTATCAATTTTTGGCGTATCCGCAAATTCAAAATACATTATTATGGCTTGAGTAGAACATATTAAGTGGTTTACAATGCTTAATTGGCTTTGTATGATCGTATGTAGGTTACATTTATATACACCAAGGTTGTTGCGCAATGTAGAGCATGTCCTAACGAAGAAAAGAAACAAATTACTAAATTTTATGAAGTTTTGAATTTCAAACTCGACAGTTTTTCGCTTATTTCATGTTATCC